GTGTGTGTGTGTGTGTGTGTGTGTGTGTGTGTGTGTGTGTGTGTGTGTGTGTGTGTGTGTGTGTGTGTGTGTGTGTGTGTGTGTGTTTACTACAGGTGTATTATCTCTCTTAATAGGCTTATTCTAGCCATATAAGGTATTTCTACATTGTTTGTGAACGAAAAACGTATGTTCAGTCTACTGAATGTTACTTGTGATCATCTTTATTTAGGCTACACGCACAGATGTCGGTGCACTGTTGGAGTGTTTCAGTGGTATGCAAGATTGCGGCACGTGATTGCTTTTGAAGGCAACATGTTCACTCAGTTACCACTTTATTGACATCTTTAGTGTTTTACTGCTCCCAAATCCCAATTGAAACATCACTGCATCAGTGAAAGGCTGTCTTCATTCTCGCAGCTGTTTGTAAAGTTTGGGGCCAACATGGTGGCCCTTCAGTTTGAGATCACAGATGAGAGCGACGAAAAGGGATGTGTGATATCTGATGGTCTACGGTCAAACTATGGGATCTTTGGAATATTTGAGAATCTGGTTGATGGTGTGAAGGTTAAGAAGATTACAAGAATGCAGTAAGATTTCAGTCTGTGTAAATGCAACGAAGCAGGATGCTGTTGATAAGCCATTTTGCTGAAAATACCTTTTTTTTGGATGCTGGTAATCTGGTGTCCCCAGCAGGCTTCTTAACTTCCTTCATCTTTCTTAATGTCCTTAAGCAAGACTTCATTGGTCAACAAGCTTCACCAGAAAAACCGTGGCAGTCCATCCTACCTTTGGGAGTTTAAAGGATTAGTTCACTTCCAGAATACAAATGTCCTGATCATTTACTCTCCCCCATGTCATCCAAGATGTTCATGTCTTTCTGTCTTCAGTCGCAAAGAAATTAAGGTTTTTGAGGAAAACATTACAGGATTTTTTCTCCTCAAAATTAGGAGTGGAAAAGTAATTCCCTGAGCATTCCCAGACATCCATCCTAGACAATCAGTACTCTTAACACATCTACGTTAACGTCACTCAAAACACAAAGTTAATAAACCTGCTTAAAGGATTAGTTCACTTCCAGAATAAACATTTCCTGATAATTTACTCACATCCATGTCATCCAAGATGTTCATGTCCTTCTGTCTTCAGTCGCAAAGAAATTCAGGTTTTTGAGGAAAACATTCCAGGATTTGTCTCCATATAATGGACTTCAATGGGGACCAATGGGCTGAAGGTCCAAATCACAGTTTCAGTGCAGCTTCAAAGAGCTCTACACGATCCCAGCCGAGGAATAAGAGTCTCATCTAGCAAAACCATTGCTCATTTTCTTAAAAAAATTAAAATGTATATACTTTTTAACGAGAAATGCTCATCTTGCACTGGCTCCGCGATGCGCGTCTGCAAATTCACTCATCACGTAACCAGGTTGGAAAGGTCATGCATGGTTAGCTCTTCGTCTGTGTGCTCCGGTTCAGAAAGGAAGGGTAGGACGGAAAACTCCATCTCATTTTCTCCTCCAACTTCAAAACCGCCCGACATCGTTTTATTACCTTCGCCTTCATCACTCGTGACCTTTCCAACGTGATTACATCATGCATGAAGTCCAGCTAGTGCAAGATGAGCATTTGTGGTTAAAAAGTGTATAATTTTTTAAAGAAAATAAGCAATGGTTTTGCTAGATGAGACTCTTATTCCTTGGCTGGGATCGTGTAGAGCTCTTTGAAGCTACACTGAAACTGCGATTTGGACCTTCAGCCCGTTGGTCCCCATTGAAGTCCATTATATGGAGAAAAATCCTGGAATGTTTTCCTCAAAAACCTTTAATTTCTTTGCGACTGAAGACAGAAAGACATGAACATCTTGGATGACATGGATGTGAGTAAATTATCAGGAAATGTTTATTCTGGAAGTGAACTAATCCTTTAAGCAGGTTTATTAACTTTGTGTTTTGAGTGACGTTAACGTAGATGTGTTAAGAGTACTGATTGTCCAGGATGGATGCCTGGGAATGCTCAGGGAATTACTTTTCCACTCCTAATTTTGAGGAAGCCCTCTTGATTGTTTGGGTTCGAGAAGGCTAGATAATAGTTTGTATGTGCTGTGGAAGTGAAACATGGTGCATTGCTGTAAAAGTCTCTGTTAGACTCTAAACTTTGAATACAAGCATTGTTTTAACAATACGTTGAGCTATTGGCTGAATGAAATGTAAGTGTGCTCTCACAGTTAATGCCTTTTGATTAGAGGTTTGTGTGGTTTTAGGCGCCATATTGATCTACTGCATTGAGCTGTGGAGGGTCAGTTTTAATTCTAATTACATAATGGGCAAAAAAAAAGCTTTAAGGGACAGTTCACCCAAAAATTTTAATTCTGTCATTTACACGCCCTCATAATGTTCTGGTGACTTATGGAAATTTGCTAAATAGTGTAAGTGACTGGGCTGATGAGCTCACTACCATAGCTCTAAGATCTTAGTTAATAATTTACATGTTACATTTAATAATAAATAATAATTTACATTTCTGGAACTATCCCTTCTAATCTCAAATATCTTTCTATAGTGCAGTCTTCTTACTGAAGGATGCTAAGAACAAGACGGTCCTGTTCAACGTTAATTTCATTTATTGTATCATACTCTAGTTTCAGGGCAGGGCTGATGTAGTTACTGTTATATAAAGCTATATGTGTTTTGAGATGAGTCAACATCCTGTTCATGCTTAGATGCCACTGACATTAATAAACACCAACATCACGTGATTCGAATGATATAAGACCCTATTTGGCAAGAACATAAAGGCCTTAAGGGTGTCATGTGTTTGTACTGTAATTTATTAGAGTAGAGTATTAAATACAAAACTTTACACTTGTCTTCAGATTTAAGATGACATGCAATTTCTCAGTCAGTTGTGTTTGTGCACGCAGTTGCTGGAGATCTCTTATAGAAAAAGCAGATAAAACCCAGTCTGCTTTTTGTTGATGCCATACTGCGAAAAAAAACCTAGACCATCTGCATTCTTCTCCACGTCGGCCCCTCCTCCTTTCATATCAGATGGGATGCCAGCGAAATTTCCGATGAGGGTTGTGTCAGTTTGCTGAAGCGCACATGTTCAGGTGTATGTAGGGGGTGAGAATGGAGCCGTCCCAATTTGGCTCTTCTCCACTGTCATTCTGAGAACCCATCTGCCTTGAACAATCTGTGTTGTCCTAGACTCCATTATAGATCGTCTATGGATGGCGTCACTGTTCCCTGCAGAGTTATAGTTTTAAATCATCATCTTATTAGCCGCTGGTCCAAATGATGGAAATTCAAATCTAATTTGTCTTGAGAAAGTGTTCACCCAAAGGATCCCTCATCATTTTCCAAATCTAGTAATGTGATACAGATGAAGCCATGGTCGTTAGTAATTTTATGAACCGTTTTGAAGCTTAAAAATGGACAACTGCAACCAGTACATTATTCAAAATATCTCTGTTAAAGAAGAATGTAAATCAGTGATGTTTGGAGCGATTGTTTTTTTTAAGTGTTTGTGGATGGGGTGATTCTTTCACAAAATAACGCATGGAATGTTCCTCAATTTGCACACAGCTCTCAGTGTTCTGTCAGCGTGCATGAATTCGGCCTGTCACTGTGAGGGCGGGTTGAGAAAATATTGTTGTGGGGCCCAAATGCTGCTCCATTTCCTCTTGATCTACTGCCCCCTGAGGGGAAATGTTTCCCCTGCGGCGGGGGCATTTGCTATCAGCCCCTGTATGGGCATTGTTCAAGCCTTCCCAAGTGTTTTTTTTTTCCTCCTCCAGACTGCCTGTTTTCCAAAAATGCTTTCAGCCATTTCCCCTTCACCTCCTAATGCTGGATCTACCCTTTAGTGCCTCAGCTTTGAAATGACACGGGGGTCGGTGCCGTTTTTTTCAGCCAGAATTCCTTTTGTGCTTTATGCGTGTTACGCCAGCAGAACTGCTGCTTCCCTCAGTAGTGTGCATAGTGATAGTCTCCGTGACATCGTTCACCAAATATGTGCCCTGCATTGGGGAAGAAGACAAAGCCAGACAAGGGAGGAGCGCATTGATTTCACAGTTTAAGGGAACTCATTAGTGTGATGAAAGCCTTTTAGTGGATTTGTAGATTTGTTTGGTGCTGAATTATAGGATTTTAATTTGAGAAATGCTTTGAAGTCGGCGTGAAATGCATAGCTGCTTTCTATATGCCTGTCATAGATTCTTTCGTGCATGTTTCACTTTTTAAAAACCGTTTCACCGTATAATCAAAATGTCTTAATCTTTTAGATGAAATGAGACTTCTTTCTGATGAAGTATGTTAAACTTCTCCAATCATTTTTGAAGCTTAAAAATGGACAACTGCAACCAGTACATTATTCAAAATATCTCTGTTAAAGAAGAATGTAAATCAGTGATGTTTGGAGCGATTGTTTTTTTTAAGTGTTTGTGGATGGGGTGATTCTTTCACAAAATAACGCATGGAATGTTCCTCAATTTGCACACAGCTCTCAGTGTTCTGTCAGCGTGCATGAATTCGGCCTGTCACTGTGAGGGCGGGTTGAGAAAATATTGTTGTGGGGCCCAAATGCTGCTCCATTTCCTCTTGATCTACTGCCCCCTGAGGGGAAATGTTTCCCCTGCGGCGGGGGCATTTGCTATCAGCCCCTGTATGGGCATTGTTCAAGCCTTCCCAAGTGTTTTTTTTTTCCTCCTCCAGACTGCCTGTTTTCCAAAAATGCTTTCAGCCATTTCCCCTTCACCTCCTAATGCTGGATCTACCCTTTAGTGCCTCAGCTTTGAAATGACACGGGGGTCGGTGCCGTTTTTTTCAGCCAGAATTCCTTTTGTGCTTTATGCGTGTTACGCCAGCAGAACTGCTGCTTCCCTCAGTAGTGTGCATAGTGATCGTCTCCGTGACATCATTCACCAAATATGTGCCCTGCATTGGGGAAGAAGACAAAGCCAGACAAGGGAGGAGCGCATTGATTTCACAGTTTAAGGGAACTCATTAGTGTGATGAAAGCCTTTTAGTGGATTTGTAGATTAGTTTGGTGCTGAATTATAGGATTTTAATTTGAGAAATGCTTTGAAGTCGGCGTGAAATGCATAGCTGCTTTCTATATGCCTGTCATAGATTCTTTCGTGCATGTTTCACTTTTTAAAAACCGTTTCACCGTATAATCAAAATGTCTTAATCTTTTAGATGAAATGAGACTTCTTTCTGATGAAGTATGTTAAACTTCTCCAATCATTTAGTCTTCTTAAATCCTACCTATTTCTTACAATCAATTGCATCCATCCAATCAACAACCGATGCATTGAACTGATGCATAAGTCCAGCCCCGCAATTGTTTCTTTTCAATAATCTGTTTCACAATACAAGAGAAAAGATCTGATGCTACTTCTGTTACATTGCAACTCTTTGATTACCGTCTGCTGTTACTTTAGATTGTCAAAGCTATTTTGTTAAGTGTGGCCAAAGCAGAAATAAAGCTGCTGTTAATTCAAATTTCTTTTGTCAATGGAAATTGTGAAGTATAAAATAGATGCATGTTGGAGTCAAGTTTGTATGTTGAGGCAAGAGGCATTTGTGTATGTTCAGTTACGGTGATTAACAGATTTTTTAAAAATGTTATTGCTGATATTAAAAATATATACTGCTTGGCCTTTTTTTAGACAAAAAATGCCATTGACAATAAATGAAACCGCATGCTTTAAGTCAAATAGTCAAATAAAACAGTAGTTTTAAAACCTGGAAATGAAGTTTTGTTTGTTTGAGCCACGTGAAAAAAAAAATCTCATATTCTGCACACAAATATCAGCTTAATCAGCCAAATATCTATAATAACACAAAATGCTATAAAATATGACCTAAGCCCTCATTAGTCAACCAATGTGAGTTTTTGGTGACTGATATTGATACAAATATCTAGAAATGTCTAATATCTAGAAAGTGGGGATGGTGGCTAAAATAAAGCCTTTGTATGTGATATCAGCTAAAACTATTTCGTTCTAGTAATTGAACATGTACATGCACGACGACATAAAAATATTTTCTGAATAATAATAATGATATAAGACAAAATGTGCATTATTCATTGACAAGGATATTAGGAATGACAGAGGAGCGGTAACACTTTTTTTTTTTTTTTGTCCAAGCGAGCATGGGCTATCAGTCATTGCTAATCAAAATGGCCCAATCGTTGCTGATTTATTGGCTTGACCAGTACACCATCACTCATTATCCACAATTGCATTGTTATATTAATTCATTCAAACTTCTTGTTGCTTTGCCCTTTATGTGAGCCTTATTTATTTCAGTCCATGTCAACCTCAAGGACTAAATCTCTGATTCCTCCATAGAATGAAGAAAAGCGTAACCTCAGCCTTGGTGGTCATGTCGGCTTTGACAGTCTGCCCGATCAGCTGGTCAGTAAATCGGTGACTCAGGGTTTCTGCTTCAACATCCTCTGTGTGGGTAAGCAACTATTAACAGCCTGTTTAAACTCTACGCTAGCTCAACATCTGATCTTGTAGTAGAAATGCTAATCAGTCATTCTCTTAACGTCAGGTGAGACAGGCATCGGCAAGTCGACATTAATGAACACCCTTTTTAACACCATGTTTGAAAATGAGGAGGCCAGCCATTACCAAAACGGTGTTTACCTGCGGCCCAGAACATACGACTTGCAAGAGAGCAACGTCCACCTAAAACTGACTATCGTCGACACGGTGGGCTTTGGGGACCAGATCAACAAAGAAGAAAGGTACAAAAACTGCTTACTGCTTAGACCAATCGGTCATTTTCTAAAAAAAAAATTAAAAAAAAATAAAGATATTTTTAACCACAAATGCTCGTCTCGCACTAGCTCTGCGATGTGTGTCCGTGACTTCACACATTATGTAATCACGTTGGAAAGGTCACATGACATAGGCGGAAGTAAAACAGATTCATGGGGCCCTAAATTAAAAGGGAGCTCTGTGGAGTTTAATTGTGAACAAACAAATTACCTTTACACTGAAGATTTGTTTTACTTCATTGCAGGCATCATCCAGTAGCATGTGAGTAAACCGCTAGGCCGCAGCTGAATCTAATTGGCTGATTATAAAATAATGATATAATGAAAATTATATGTACATGAATTGCTGACATTAAATGAATATTTATTTTTGCAGTCTGAGTGTGGTTTTCAGCCAGTACTCACAATGTGTAATATTATACGACAGTTACAAAAGCCATATATGTTATCAAAATGCTGAATCATTAAAAAAAAACAGTATATTGTACAATATTATACAAATGCTCAAGATGACCACATAAAAGACACAAAGTACGAGTTGAATTCGGTTCCAGATGTGAATGTGTATTTCATTGCTTTTGTTTATTACATTTTTTATTTAATAAAAATTAAGTTTATAGCTAATGTAAGTGATATGCACAAACATGTCTATATGTTTTTTTTTTTTGGCAAGATTTATTTTTGGCGTTTTATGCCTTTATTTAAATAGGACAGTAGGTGGACAGGAAGGTCCGTGAGCCGTGACCCGAACTTGGGAAGCCCAAATCGTAACAGTGCTACATTAACTAGACCACTCACAAAGTACGAGTTGAATTCGGTTCCAGATGTGAATGTGTATTTCATTGCTTTTTATTTAATAAAAATTACGTTTATAGCTAATGTAAGTGATATGCACAAACATTATTTTTGGCGTTTTATGCCTTTATTTAGATAGGACAGTAGGTGGACAGGAAGGTCCGTGAGCCGTGACCCGAACTTGGGAAGCCCAAATCGTAACAGTGCTACATTAACTAGCCCACGAGGCCATCAGTGCCGACAAATGTGCATATGTTTAATCTAAGTTTTCTGAAGTGACACTATTGCTTTATATGATGAACCGATTTCATTTAGGCTCTCATTCACATATCAACTTTGATGACATAATTTTCTTTTTTGTGGCATATTGTCTTTTAACCAAGAGTGGTTTCAACTACATGCTTTAATGTAGTTTATTTCATTAAGAATAGTGAATATGCCTTAACACAAGATTTAAAATCAGCAATAAAAAAAACATTTGCATTTAAGGCTTGACCACAGTACACAAAATCTGAACAGAGTTTAAATGCTAGACATCATACACTTACCGAGTTTGTAAATAGTCACAGAGGAATAACTAAACGACTGAGGATCACTCACTACCAGACTTTAAAATCGTTACGCTCTCAACAAACTTGTAATGTATCTTGAAAACAGTTTGTTCTAAAATGTCTAACATGTTTGATATCCTCCGACTGGATAGATTCATAGTCTGAAGCTAAAAAATCGTAGTCTGTGACCATCATACACTACGTGATTTTCTATTAAATCTGTCAACTCAAATCTGCAGACTGCCTCTGACTTTCGCCAACTAGCGTCAACTTCTCCAGACTGTAAATCAGGGCAAAAATCTGGGGAAAAGTCATGTAGTGTATTCCAGCCTTTACTCATACTTTGACCACATTTTCCAGAATTTTTTTTATTTTTAATCATCTGAAAAGTGCTGCAACTTATGTTCTAAAGCCTTTGTCATTGTTGTATGTTAAGCGAGACCAAAGACCAATTTTCAGCCAAGGCTGAACAATAAAGTAAAGTAAAGTGACCCAGACAATAAATTAATTGTAACAATTTTTTATATTTTACCCATGTAATATTTTACACACCTTATTTTTTATTTTTTTACTTTAGAGTTATACAGTAAAATTAACTTTTAAAAAAAGATCTGCGTTTCTCATTTTCATTCATATAGATAACATGATGATTTCTGTCATCTGGTGGAAAACGAACACTTTTAAAATGAAACTGGCTGCAGAGAACCACGTAGTAGCTCATTTTCTATTTCCACTCCCCAGTATAGTTCTTTTAACACGTTTTGTGTATTATAAAATGGCCATTATAACAAACAACACTTTATTGTACTGAAGTATGAAGAATAGCAAGTGCAGGAAAAGTCACAAAGTCTCATGCCATTAAGATGAAGGATGAAGAAAAAATAAGCCCAGACTCCAGCAGCTTAGAAGGGTTAATTATTCAACTATTTGAAAATACAAAACGAATTAAATAAGTTCATTATTAATGCTAATAATTATTAGATGTAAATAATGCATTAAAGACCTTTAAACATTTAAAAAACAACAAACAAATCTTTTAACTTTAGAAGATGTGAAATGTATTCAGCCAGCACAGACATTTTTTATTCTTGTCTATGTTGCTGTTGCAAGTCTATTAGTCTGCATTTATACTACGACACTTAATGCACAAGTCTGTTTTAACATAGGTTTGTCAAATGTTTTCTCGTTTGTTGCTGCAGTTATCACTGTCAATCATAGCAATTTCAGGACTATATATTTAGTCTGTTGAGTAAACAAAAAAATGACTAGCCAATGGCAAGTAAATTTATTGTCAAGGTGTGCATAGAGGGTTGCTTGTAGCACTTTGCAATTACTTTTGCTAATATTCACCTCATCACCTCAGCCTCATGTATCCATATAAACACACTATGCATTCAGTTGAAACGGTGGGATTCAGTGAGAAAGGACATTATATTGTTACGGTGCATATTATTGCAAATGAAATCAGTTGTGAGTAGTGTTTTCCTAGTCGACTAGTACTTGATTGATGTTTTTATCATGTAGCCTTTGGTTGTCTTTATTCTAGGCCCATCTTCCCTTTGCTGTGGTGGGCAGTGTGGAGGAGGTGAAGGTGGGGAATAAGACGGTGAGGGCCAGGCAGTATCCGTGGGGAGTCGTTCAAGGTAAGCTGGAGCAGAAATGTCCTTGCGGTTTGGTCTCTTGTGTTGGCTATTTTAGTTGAGCTGTAATAGATGAGCATTACTCTGTCACTGGAGAGTATCATGCTCGAGGGGCTGGAGTACATCAGCCACACTGGGACTTTCATTTGAACCCTGCTTCTCCCTGCGGATGCTGGTTGAGGGGTATTTTTACTATGCTTTTGATGTGAAAACAATCCCATCAATCAAAGCGGCGATAAATGCCACTCTAGACGGGAGCTAATTACTGTGTTTTCTCAGATGTGAGAGAGAGAGAGCTCTGCCACAGATAAGGTCACGTCATTAGTCATGTTTTTCAGTTTAATTAGTCCTCCAGCTTAAGTAGAGACTCGTGCTGCATGAAAGATGCTCAATGTAGAGCAGTTCATGTAGAACAGCAGTTGACTTTGTGACTCTCAGAGTGTTTCTGCATGAATTCAAATGTCAAATAGAAATTAAAACCAATACTTGCAGAACTAATTGCGCCATACTTAGTACAGCGTTCAGTGGTCCTACATACTTATAAGAATGCAGATTATTAATACTTTTTAAGACTGTCAAAACACTGTTTTAAATTAAAATGACTTAATATCTCAAATTTTGAATTTCCAAAATTTAGAGTTCCAAAGTTTTGGGTTCTCTTGTGCTCACCAATGCTGCATTTATTTGATTAAAAATTCAGTAAATATTGTGAAATAATATTGCAATTATTATCATTTTATTGCAATTTCAAATAGCTGTTTTCTGTTTTTGTCACATGATCTTTCAGAAATCATTCTAATGCTTATTTGTTGTATTTTTATTAGTGTTGAAAACAGTTGCTTAATATTTTTTAGGATTCTTTGACAAATAGAAAGTTCAAAAGAAACATAAATGTCTTTACTTGTCACTTTTGATTAATTTAATGTGACCTTCCTGAATACAATTCTTGATATTACTTAATATAATAAAATTCTTACTGACTCTAAACTCTTGAATGGATTTCAATATTGTACTTTTCAGATGTATTGATGAGTTAATTTAATTCATCAGTGTAATTAAAGATGGTGTGTGTGTTTGCTTTTGCGTAATCCTAGTCTTTAAAAAATCAATCAGAACACAATGAAAATAACTTATAAATGTCGCAAAATTTAATGACATTATGCATAATTAATCTCTTATGGGCAGCAATTTTTTGGTAATTAACAGCATAATACTAAAAGCAAAGACAGATAAAGAAGTTCTGGTGTTATTATTCATCTGAATTCGAGTCTTTGGCTTGTAGCTGTAGTTGACCGACAGTTTATCGTGTTTTCCATCTGTATTGACGGTGATCATGTGCATGTGTATTGCAGTGGAGAATGAGAGTCACTGTGATTTCGTAAAGCTGCGGGAGATGTTGATCAGAGTGAACATGGAGGACCTGCGAGAACAGACTCACGCCAGGCACTACGAACTCTACAGGCGCTGTAAACTAGAGGAGATGGGCTTCAAAGACACCGACCCAGACAGCCAGCCTTTCAGGTGCGTTACCTAGTGAGCTGCACATTATTACCAAGCAGGTTTTAGGTGAAATAACTCAAGTGTTCTTCAATTCTGTGTTACTTTGTCTGTGACATTAATGTTAATGAAATACTGTGGCCATTTAAGCATTGTTTTGGGCTGCTGTTCCCTTTTTAAAATCCCGCCCATAGGTGACAAAGCATAATGCAGGTGAAGGCCTGTTCACACAGGAACCATAACTATAATTACTACGACTATATTAGCGCCTTCACCAATGAGCGATAACATTCAGTTGTTTATAAACGTGTGTTGCGGCTAACTTTCCTCTTTGTCGTATGGTGTATATACTTTTTTTTCCTCTACAGTCTACAGGAGACATATGAAGCCAAAAGGAAGGAGTTTCTTGGAGACCTGCAAAGGAAGGAAGAGGGGATGCGGCAGATGTTTGTGAACAAAGTGAAGGAGACCGAGGCCGAGCTGAAGGAGAAGGAGAGAGAGGTTAGTTACTGCCTCATTATGGTTTATTCTTCTTTAAAACATCAACCATCAGACTCCAACCAGTCATCTTAAAGTCCCCATGAAATCAAAATTGAAGTTTTTTGGCTTTTAGTACGAATATGTTTGCTCCAAAACAATGGCAAAATTCACATTTACAAGATATAAGCATTCAAAATGGTCTCTCACTTCCGCCAATATGGATCAATGATTTTGATGACATCACTCTGCACTTCAGCTTCTCATCAGATTTTCTGTCCAATCAAATGCTTTCAAGGATCCGAAGCGTCCCGCCCCTGACACTATAAATATACGCTGAAGCCTCGACTGAAATCGGTCACTCGTTCACAGAATTGGCATTTTCTGTATGGTGAATGGCACATAGTGCACTATATAGTGGATAAGGAACGATCCAGACAGTGTAAATGTGTTTTCCATTGGGGCGAAAGAAGTCTGATAGCACAGAGCGGGTCATATGGACGAGTCGGCACAGGCCATAAAACCTATCGGACCCATTTGAATTCTACACACAATGCCATATTTTAAATCGATATGGATGAGATTAGGAGGAGAAATGATTAGACAGGCTCTGCAGTAGAAACAGCACTGACGAGTAGAAGAGATAACACCGGTGCCATGAACCAACATAAATTACTCGCCTCTCAAGCTACGCATCCTCAGCATGATTATGATCACGGTTTTGCTTTAGTAACAGCTTCATATAGAATCTAATAAGCTGTCATAAGCTGTCAAACGCGGCTTTACTGAGCTCAAGCAACGGTTCTGGCCGAGCTGTGATGTAAACTAAATACTATTGGCTATTTTAAAAAGGGGCGGAGCTGTAGCTATATGTCCCGCCTTGTCTTCCTGTTTCAGCTGAAATGACATCAACATATTGTTTCAATGCACTTCAGTGGACCTTTAAATAAAACCAATGAAAACCTGCTAGACAAGATGCAAGTGGAAATAGTGCATGTTCAAACAAAGTTTCTGGCATAACTTTCAGGAATCCCGCTCACTTGTGTGTCTGTCCTCAGTTACATGAGAAGTTCGAGCAGCTGAAGCGCATGCACCAGGAGGAGAAGAGGAAGGTGGAGGAGAAGAGACGGGAGATGGAGGAGGAGATGAACGCCTTCAACAGGAGGAAGGTGGCCGCCGAGACCCTCTCGCTCTCACAGCCCCTCAAGAAGGACAAAGACAAGAAAAAGTGAGTTTGCTCTTCTTATCCTTTCATCTTTTTTTTCTCCAAGTGCAGAGATTTAGCTGTTCTTACATCAGGTGTGAAATGAAATCCAAATCATGAACTCTTCATATAAGCATATATAAATAGCTAAAATCCAGGACGTGACAATTTTTGGCATATTTGGTGTCCCCAAAGGCATCCCGAAATATTACTTTTGGCCATCAGATATCAGAAGCCACGGATGATATTACTTTCAGTGCATACCCACAATTTGCATACTGCACACAGTATACTTACTTTATACTGTTCCTGTGGCTCAGTGGTAGAGCATTGCGTTAGCAGCGCAAAAGGTCGTGGGTTCAAATCACACATACTGGTAAAAAAATGTATAGCCTGAATGCACTGTAAGTCGCAGCGTCTGCTAAATGCATAAATGTAAATACTGCTGAAATAGTAAGTAAATACTGCTGGGTAAAATATCTTTTCATTTGCCGCAGCACTGCAGATTCTCCAGCACTTTTCCAAGAACCATTGATTTTCAACTTTGTCAAATATATTCGAGTTAAATTCAGACTGGCAGCCAGTTCTGACCTCTATCTAGCACCATCTTGTGGTTGATGATGGTATCTGCGTGTTACATTTCCAGAGCATCCATTTTGTGGTTTGTGCCTGACGTGGATCCACCCATTGAAATCTGCTTTTAATATAGTCTTGTGCAACTTTTACCAGAAAATATGGTATAAGTCCCACCTGGTCATTACATTTAGAATTAGGTGAAATACGGGTAAATATAGCCATGTTTACATTTTAAACACCGTTTTCATTTCTGAACTAAAATACATACAGTATAAAACAAACATAAATTATTGTGGCATTCATTATAAATTACATTTATTTAAAGCTAAACTGAAACTGCCAGCGTGTTGGAAATGCACAATACAAATAAACGTAAGGGTAACACTTTTTATTTTAAGGACCAGTTCTCACTATTAACTAGTTGTTTATTAGCATGCATATTACTAGCATATTGGCTGTTTATTACTACTTATAAAGCACATATTAATGCCTTATTCTTATAACTAACAACTACCTTACTAACTATTAATAACCAGCAAATTAGGAGTTTATTGAGGCAAAAGTCAGAGTTAATAGTGAGAATTGGTTCCTAAACTAAAGTGGGACCAATTTATGTACCTCTTTCATTCTAATTCTGAACGTTTCGAGTGCCTAATGTGGTTTGGATTATGTAGGTTGCTTTGTTTCAGATGATAAAAATGTGACTGATATTCCGGAGAATATTCTAAATGTGTTATTTTCTGTTTGAATGTGATTGAAATTGAAACTCTCAACCAAGTTAATGAAGTTATATTATACGTCCATTTACTCGCTGTATCACAACGTGCTTGTGTGTTTGAGTTTCTTGATACGCTTGCATTCATATTAGTTTATTTGCATTGTTTCCATTCTACATCCTCTTCAGTTTAATTTTATTTTCTGATTCATTTTTTCTTGTTTTGTGTTTGTTTTCTTTCAGTTAATTTATGAGCGCATCGCAGGCCATCCGTGGGCTTTCCTCTATTAACATCAGCTTTTGTTTTTTGGCATGTTCCTCATGACATTGTGCTGAAGGACCAAAGATCCTGATGGGAAGACAGAGAGATGCAGGTGGGCGGGGTCATTTTTAATGCCCTTCCCTCGTCAACCCCATTTAATTTTTGGGACCGGTTTGTTTTTGTTTTGTTCTGTTCTGTTTTAATACACATTTTGTTTTGGTATTAACCATCTGTCCATCTGTCTTACAGTCAGGCCAATTTTGTGACGTACGTATTGAGTAGTACATGTTTCCCTTGCCAAAGTACAGTACAGTAGTATTTAAGATCTGAGCCAAACTCATAAGCACAGTGCACTAATGCACACGTGTATGATTTTATTATTATATAAGCCTGCATGGCTTTCTCTACAGTCTGTTACTATTGGTGCTGTTTTTAAAAGTACATGACGACAGATATGCAAATTATATTTTTTTGTATTTTGGAGCATATAAGGCTGTATGGTATTCAGGTTATATTGTAAAGGCCATCTGAACTAAGGTAACTTCCTACAGATCTTCATTTGCATAAGGGGCAATGTTGTCAACTGATGTTAGAAATAAACGCTCCCCCTGATTTCCTTGTGCTGCTTGATATATACATAAAGTGAAACTTTGTTGAGGTGAAAAGAAATGAAGGCAGAGGTGAAAGCTGAACATTAAATAAACATATTCAGGTCAGGGGTGTCAAACGCATTTCTGGCTGGCTGTTGCAAACATGCTTTTTTTTGTGGTATACCGAACACTTTTCTTGGTTAATAAATGGTGTGATGGGAATGTTATTCTGCACACCGTTTTTCAAGTTTGTGGTCAATATCTTCTGCCCACAAAGACTGCATTTATTTGATCAAAAATACAGTAAAAATTGTGAAATATTATAATTTAAAATAGCTGTTTTCTATGTGAACATATTGTACAATGTATTTTATTTCTGTGATGCGCAGCTGTATTTCCAGCATCATTACTCCAGTCTTCAGTGTCACATGATCTTCAGAAATCAGTCTAATATGCTGATTTCTGATTATTATCAATGTTAAAAACAGTTGTGCTGCTTCAAATTATTTGGGAAACCGTAATGCTTTTTATTTTTTTCAGGATTCTTTGATGAATAGAAAGTTGAAAAGAACGGCATTTATTTGAAATAGAAATGTTTTGAAACCTTATACAATGTCTTTACTGTCACTTTTGATCAATTTAAGGCGTCCGTGCTGAATAGAAGTATCTCTTAAAAAAAAAAAAGTGCTGCGTTACAAATTATTACTTAAAGGTATAGTTTACTCAAATTTATCATGTATTTTCCTTATTCAAAACCTATATTACTTTATTTTTCAAGAGATTGGAACAACTGGGTGAGTAAATAATGGCAGAAATGTATATTTAAACTATATTTTCCTCTATGGTGCTGTAATTGCACATTTACCCTGACACGAGAAAACTAGGAAGAATGTGCGTAGTGTTAATAGTCTGCTTTTATTCCACAGAAAGACACAAGAATCTGCTGTTTTTAGAAAAGGAAATTTCCATTGGTTTCATTTCAGAGAAGCAGGAATTTGGTATCTGTAGCTGCCTTAAAGCGTTGGGACGAGGTGTTTTTGGTTAAAACATTAGGGGGGGAAAATCATATCTGAATAGAAATGTAATTTCCTCTTCACATTAATACTACAAATCAAGACTTTATTCTGAAGATATCAAAAGATATAAATTCCAAAACGCATAACACTATAAAGCATAACTCCATTAAGGAATTAATCAACTGGCCAACAAATTGATTTCTGTTTAAGCACCATAATCATTAAAGCGCACTTGCAGTATGAAGAACGCATATGAAAATACAAAAATATAAAACGCAAAGTACAAAAATAAAAGGAATAAAAAAAAAAAAGATCAAACAAAGGAATCTTAAATATGGTCAAAGTGCTGCATAAAGTTTTCATAAAAGAAATAGAAAGTGCCTTGGCCATCTTTTATCTGCTTCCAACTTTCTCAAAACCACATGTTAGCTTATTAACTAGAAGAGGGTCGTAACGGAGGACAAGGCGAGATTTGCTCGTGCATATCCTGTTTTCTTTGACATGTCCTCATCATAAAGGCACCAGAAACCGTCATAGAAGTCATCCACGTCTGGGTCCCCTTTCTGTTCCCATCTCCATCATCCTCCTGCATGTCATGTCCTCTGAACACCAGCATGCTGGCGGCGTCCAAAATGTAGACGTGTTGGTGGGTAAGGAGCGTTCGAGGCCGGTGAGGTACTCATCCACCGTCTCCTTGCAGCAGATGAACTCTGCTCTCCATCTAGAACAAATCCAAACATCCATGTGAGTGAAATTATGCCCAAACTCAAATGGCACAGCTCTGCGATGAATGGCAAAGTACTTCATGGAGTTGTAGTTGACAAAAATCTGAAATTCTGTCACTGACAGCACCATAAAAGTGGACCATATGATGCTAAAGTCTTCAGAAGCCATGCAACAACTTTGTGTAAGAAACATACACTACGTTTTCAAAGAGAGACCTGATTTCTGCAAATTAAAAAGCCATACGGGTTTTGTAATAACATTATGGTGAGCAGATTGTTCATTTTTGGACAATTATTTTATTTATTCATTTGACAAAAACAGTTAATAGTGATGCAACAAAATTTCAGCAACCCAAAATATTTGACCAAAAAAAAAAAAAAAAAATTCGGTTTTGGCTAAAACCATTGTACAGTGCCTGAAATCACAGACCCAAACAGAGATGTTTTATTACAAGCCGTTTAAACATTTCAATCCTTAAAATGTACAAGTATCTACTTTAATGCAACTAGCACGGTAACACTTTTTTGTTGTTGTTTTTTTAAAGGACCATTTCTCACTATGAACTAGCATGCATATAACTAGCATTTTGGCTGTTTATTAGGAATTATAAAACGCATATTAATGTCTTATTCTGCATGAGCATATGTTAGATCCATTAATCCACCCCATACCTAAACTAACAACTACCTTACTAACTATTATTAATCAGCAAATTAGGAGTTTATTGAGACAAATGTCATAGTTAATAGTGAGAATTGGACCTTAAATAAAATGTGACCAAAAAATTCTTACTGGTAACATTTGAAATAGGTATTAGTATTCAATAAATGTGTACTAATATCTAATGAATAAGTACTAGAATATATAAAAAATGTACTGGTAGCTAAAGAATAAGCACTACTAGATAACAAATAATTATTAGTACCTAATTGAATAGATAATAGATGCTAAAAAAAAAAAAAGTATCAGTAGCCACCAGTCGATTTGGTCAGTCACACTTTTAAATACTTTTTAGCATTTCTATAGTAAACTTACAAATTCACACTCTGTGTACCATTTAAGTGCACTGTCTATTTTTGCTACACTATTTTGCAATAAACAGATTGAATATAATGCATTGGCAACATGTAGACTTTAAGCAAACCAAGGAGTGAATTACCCACTACTTTAAAACTAATTTCTGTTGGACATTATTCAAGTTAAACGCACAAAAGCTGGCGCACAAACACTTCATATTTAGTAAATCTTACTGAAAATGGCAGATTAAGTGGTTTATATTCAGAAATCTGTGTCTAGGTTTTGTTTTGTGTAAATTAAATAACATTTGGATGTAAACGGTCCTCTTCCGGACCTGAATGTAGAAGCCACTGCACCCAGAGTCATCAAGCACCGCAACAACATCATCTTCATTTGACTTTATTCTGGTTAGGTTTAGATTTCTCTGTAGTTGTTGTACGTTGTAAAATAACGCTAAATATCCATGCAAAAGGCAAGCAGTATATACCATAGGCTATTATCCGCCAAAATGCTGGGGAAGCTAGTAAGTTTCATTTTATTTATTAATTTATTTACAAATTAACAATTTAAAATTTATTCAAATGACTACATTGTGTGCATATTTACTTTTGAGTTGAACACATCAACTCAAAAACATAAATCTTTCCAAAATGTTTTTTGAAAATACATGCTAGTATGTTTAATGATTAGATGTTAAAACGGCTTGCCATAGTGCTCCGATGGCATGTTTTGTTTTGACCGTCAGTGTCTTTTTCTTGCACACAACTTGGATACAGGTAAACAACAGTGGACACTAGTGCTGGATTAACAGCATCTATTTGCTATAAAAAGTAGATATAAAAACTGCCTTGTGCGCAAGTGAAATGTCTGTATATTTGCTGTTGATTCTTCCAACATTTTCTTAATTGCTTGATTATTAGGGATGTAATGATGCACCCCGAGCCAGTTGAAAAATCAAGAAACATGTGTGACGACTGAAGTCGGTCGAGATGTTAAACGAATCAGCCCGTCTGCGGTTTTTGTTTCGTTCAGATGTTTTATGTAGCATAGTTTCACAAAACTAAAAGTCAGACCTAAATTTCGAAATTATACAATCTAATTTAATTCAGAAACTGCTCGTGTTGCATGCATGCAGCATCTTTGTTTGGATCGTGAGTTAAATGCAGTGGTTGACTAATTTTAAATGGAAAGAGCACAGACAAAGCCTTAGTTTGTTTTTTATTATTTATTTGATTTGAGCTTTGTTTTAATTTCAGTTTGGTTGTTATTTGACATTTCAATTTCACAAAGAAATTTAAATTTTTTTCGGAGTAATAATTAATTTATAATTTGCCTTTGTTAAAAAAATAAAATAAAAAAAAGGATAAAATCATATAGTGAAATCAGCATCGTGAATCGTATTGCATCATGAGTTGAGTGTATCGTTACATCCCTACCGATTATTAGTTTATTTTTAGGTTTTGGCTAAATCTTTAAAAAAATAAAAATTTGCTTTAATTCTGCTTTCGGTTTTTTAGTAAAAAAAAAATATATATATATATATTTTAGTGATGCATTATATAAATGCTATGCATCACTAGCACTTACCCATAATATTCCAACAAGCATATCAATCTCCCAAAAGCTGTAAGATCAGTGCTGTGTTCTTGACTACATGTGCTTTCCTCAGCAGGTCGGTAAAAACAGAGAACCAATCAGGCGTCAGCCTCTCCAGCTCCAAAGTGATGATGGCCAAAGCCAATATGGAGTCCTTGAACTGCCAGAGCTGGTGGCAGGCCATACAGTGCTGCAGCTGCCTGGTCCACAGCGACGCCTGGAGGCAGGGTCTCTTCTGAGAGATGGACAGCATCAGCTGAGGACGCCTGGACATCAGCAGGCCGTGGAACTGAAGCCAACAGAACCACCGAAAAACCTAATCTCTTACAGAGGCGAGGGTCTGTATTTGTACTCTTGAGAAATGGTGTGTGTGTGTGTAAGACCCTCATGAGTGGGCTATAAAAAAATGTGCCGTGTTCGATAGTCTCCATGTTTTTAAAACATAAGTCTCTCGCTCCGATTCCTAATCCAGATGTTTTGTTTCTCTTCAATGCAAGCCAATCAAAGGCAAGCACAACCCAACAAAATGATTTTTTAAAAACTTTTTGGGAATTGATTCCCTGGATGATTTACCATTCAAGTCAAATACGAGTTTGCAAAATTGGCTACTGGTTAGCATCAACCGAGATTACACTGATCATCATTGATGAATACAATAATGTGCACTTATGAATCCAGGAACGTACATTAAGAAATAAAATAGGGCCAATTCTGATTTCACATCGATGCACATGTTTTCTAGGAACATCCTTTTTGGAAAAAGAAATAAGCCATGTTGCTTGAATAGGAATGACGTGATAGTTTCACGAGTTCAGGGTAGTAATTCATATTGCCTTGTGGAATATTTCTGTAAATGTTTACTGTGGAAGTGTGACTTTCCTTCGTATCTCTGTCTGTATGTGAGCGTTTACTTCTCCAAGGGACTGACTGGGGAGTCACATGGACCTTGTATGGTAATATATTTAAGGTATTCTAAATTGTGCGATATTTATTTGGGAAGTTTATTTTTCTATGCTATTAGATATTTTTTCATTTCACAAGCAATTATATTGAATTATTCTACGTGTTATAGACGTCGAGATATCTATAATATGATCTATATGGGTAGATCTCACAGAAACAACCCAAAATAAATAATGCATATGCATGCATAAAGAAAACAAAGCTTTTTTAGGACGATCGAGGTTCTTTTTACATTGTGGCATTATTATTATTATTATTATTATTCAGCACAAAATTAATTCAGTAAATGTACTTTATAATTTAAGTAATACATTTTTTTTACACGTTATGATAATGAAGACATACAAAAATATTTTTGGCATTACATTAATGAGAAATAAGGAAAAATGTGCCATGAAAATAATTTCCAGTCCTGTGTCTAAAAATGTAAAATGTGTAATTCCAAAATATTTCCTGGTAATAAAACACGTTTTGAAAATAACCTTAAAAGGAGTTTTTTTTTACATTGTTTAAAAATTGTTAACTAAATTAAATTGTTAATAAAACTTATAATGCTTTTTCACACCAAAAACAGCCTTTAAATGTGCAGTTTTTTGGTAAATTCTATTAAATTTGAATTCCCATACAAAATATCCTAACGGTCCTAAAACAGGCTTCGTTTTCTTTATCCAAAATATATTTATCAGTTTGATTTGGGGGTGAAATAATACCCATGTTTCATGAGTTTCTCCCATATATTAATTAAATTTTCGAAATTTGTTTTAAGCATCAGGATCGTATTTTTAACAGGGTCTCGTTTCACATACTTCACACTTCTAGTGGCTATTTTATGACTGTCTGTAGTGTGCTAAAACAGCAATTGCTCTCCATGTGTTAACTGTTGCTCGGATTAATCTGGGGAGCGTTTCCCAAAAGCAATTTGCTCGCAAGTTACCAACAGAATTCAATGGAACTTGCGATCAACGATGCTTTTGGGAAACGCAGCCCTCGACCGTGTCTATGCCACACTAACTTGTGCAAAGAACATCAGTCATATTTTTAGATGTTTCAACTGAACCCCACAATGTAGGAAAGACGAAGTATGAAGATAGTTCCTATTTCTGAGAGGATATTTGTATTGGAGATGTTTTGCAGGGTTATCTATCTGCTTTACTGCTAAAGTACAAGCCAGATTAGTGCCTTTGCCGAATACGCACCGCATGCAACTCGTCGCGGCTTTTTTCACATGCACAACGTCAAGGACCAAAAGTCAGTTTTTGCTCATGTTTGCAACATTAAAAGAGTTGCATGATTTCTGCAGACACGTCAGTTGCGACTCACAATGTGAATGAAATCCATCGGTGTGGCGATGAAAAGGTCCCAGTGCAGCTTGTTCAATATGACTCGCTCCATGCGAAGAATCTCTGCTGTTGAGAATTTGCATCTGCTTTGCTCCAGCAAGTCTTTAACCGATGCAATCACCTGTTCACCAACAAAAACAGATCAATAAACGTGCTGGAATGGTTAAAAATTGTGTGGGGAGTCTCTGTTTGTGCTACAACAAGACAGACACATTGGTATATCTTGCCTCATCTTCCTCGTTGATCTTTGCAGCAAGGATCAGAGAGGTGATGGCCACGCATTTGAGGTATTTCTGCTGAGTCTGGAAAGAAATAGGACTTTGATTCTGTGCCCTTCATCTTTTCTAGTGATACAAAGGTAGTAACTGTTTCACTTACTTTGACTGCTGCAAGCAGGCTGTTAAGAACATAGACTCCCAAAGCAAACGTCTCGGAGGAAAACTGGAATAGGCTGCTCATTTCACGCAACCACACGATCACCTCCTGGTACTGAGGTGGGCTGATATCTGAACCCTGAGAGCACACGAAACATGGCAAATGTAGAGCTCATGTTCTTGCTGGTTAAAGGGATAGTTCACCCAAAAATGAAAATGTGATGTTTATCTGCTTACCCACAGGGCATCCAAGATGTAGGTGACTTTGTTTCTTCAGTAGAACACATTTGATGATTTTTAACTCCAACCGTTGCAGTCTGTCAGTCGTATAATGCACGGCAATGGTAACAAAATCTATGAGAGTAAAAAAAAACATGCACAGACAAATCCAAATGAAACCCTGCGGCTCGTGACGACACATTGATGTCCTAAGACACGAAACGATCAGTTTGTGCCAGAAACTGGACAGTATTTATATCATTTTTTACCTCCAATAGACCACTATGTCCAACTGTCTTTGGGCGCGCGCACGGCATCCGGTGCGTGAGGTGTGTACGCGCTCGTGTACGCATCTTGGATGCCCTGGGGGTAAGCAGATAAACATCACATTTTCATTTTTGGGTGAACGATCCCTTTAAGGAAGTTCAGAAGCCTTATGTTCCCACCTGAATGCAACCGTTCTTAAGGACTGGTGCTCTCCAAAGACGCATTTCTCTTGCCAGGGTGTTGAGCAACAGTGTGCCTAGCCGCTGACTCTCTTCTTCACCAGGCGGTTTCATGGCTGTTCTGGAAACTAGTCCTTTCCACTGGAAGTAATGCCTGACAAAAGAAATGCAGTTTAGTGATTTAGCAGATGCTTTTATCCAAAGTGACCTATTTGAGCAAAGAATTCAGTGCATTAATCAAGGTGTCCTTATTAAGTTTGAACCTCCAAGCTTTCAGTGCATTTCCTCTTCTTTGAGAGCCTGATGTTGGGGTGCATGCAATGCAAAACGGTCCCAACATCAGGCCTACACTACAGTTTTTACAACCACTGTCTACATTTTAATAATCCGTGTTGGTGTTTACTAAAATGAACAAATGCAGGGCATTTTAACTGCATCAGGAAGCAGAAAGCATCATTTGTGAGACTAAAGGCGCACAAGAGATATGGGCGGGTTGATTTGCATCAACTTGTAAACAAAGGCATGTAAAGTTTTGGCATAAAAATTACCTTTGAAAAAGAAACACACAAAAAGAGGCGCACTGTTTAACTTACACAACAATGAAACACTTAAAAACAACAGAAGCTCAATAAAATACTAGCAGGTGTAAAACATGTTATATACATACACCAGAGCACAGAATGTGCAATTAGACTCCCCTTTAGAGAATGTAAGAAAAGAAAAGTCGCACAAGGCGTCAACAGTTTTTGACTCCGCCCTCGTATTCTAGCCCACGCTGTTGGCACCGCCCACAAATGTGACGTCACGATTGGTTGACCCGCCCATACACTCATCCCCCACGTACTGAACTGTGTTAATGGGTCGCAAATACGGGTTCTTTTATATGAAATGGTCGGTTTATTATCATAATTTATTACATCATGATGTCAAACGTCTAATTAGAATATACAGAGACTAATGAGTTCAGTTATAAAAATGCTAAAGTGTGTCTTTAAGGGGTAGAGTTATGGTGTAGTAATTGTATTTAACTTTTAGAACATTAAAGGCCATGATATAAAATATTTATAATAATTAGGTTGCAAAGAAAGTAAACATTTTCATATTGCTTCTCAAAAGTGAAAAATCCAAAGTCATTATGTATGACGCAGTGCTGCGAATTGACTGATTACATGTAATCAGCTTTTTTGTCAATGTTAATCGTTATTCCGCGTCAAAACTATAATCATAAAGAGCCAAGTGCGTTTACAAACACAAGGAATTCCTTTTGGTGACTAGAGCTTCCAGTGCAGAAAAAAAGTACAGACATATAATGCTATATGCACTTTTACAAGTTGTTTGTTGGCAGTGTGTGTACACAACCACCCTATAATGATAAAAATCCACCCAGTGGTTTTATGTTGATCTACTAGAATCTTTACCCCTTTCTCAAATCGAGCCGATCTCAAATGCCTGTCTGTGTGACGTCACACAGACAGGCCCCTCCCACGATAGTTTGATTGACAGCAGCGTTTCAGCACAGACTGGACTGGTGTCTTACCTCAGACCCGCCCTGAGTGACTGTCATCAGTCTGCCGTTGTTTCACCGCCGGAGCAGATGTAGACAAGAATGACTCCTGAGCGATTGAGGTGTTCTGTTGTTGGATGTAATAATGAACATAGCAATCGTCATTTACTCCCGACATCTGAGCCACTGAACTCGCAGTGGATTACATTTGTTTCTGAAGGGAATGCGCCCCCGATTTACATAAATGCATCTATGTTCGCGCGAATCATTCATGATTGAGCCTCATCTACAGAAGAAGTGAGTGTAAGGTTTTGTAATGAATCTTTGCAAATCGCCTTTCCTAATAATGTGCTAATTAGCAAGTTTCACGATGAATGCGGCTAAAGTCTCTCTGAGAGCAGCTCGGAAGAGAGGGGCGGAGTCAGCAGAGCTCATTAACATTTAAAGGAAAATGCTACAAAACGGCTTGCTCTGAAAAGAGCTGTTTTTGACAGGGTAAAAAAGGTGTTTTTTGATAAAGGTGTTCATTGAGACATTTTAACCAAACTATGTTACAGACTTTTCATTAAGACCCTAAAGAATCATATCAACTTGTGGAAAATGGGCATCGGATGACCCCTTTAAGGTAATAAAATGAAATATAACACTTATAATAAAGAGAATTGACAATAAATGACACAAAAAAAACAAGAACATTATATTGGCCCCACTTTCAAACATTTTCTTTTAAAGAAAAGCACAGCATCCCTTCTTACATAATGAACTGGTTGCAAAAACCTGCAACAATGAAGGAGAAGACGCAGTCTATTTCTGTGCTGTAAGCTTGTTTTTGTGCTGCAGCTGCGCAGGCGGATTGGTCGAAGGACGCACATCCTTTATTTGATTTGAGAGAGGACCATAGGCACAAAGTCATATCATGGCATCAGAAAAACGTAAGTACACATACATTGCTTTTTAAAATATTTGCTTATTAAAGACTGAGCATGCATTTCATCGTGCAGCAGTGATACCAAATATCTGACCTTCATGTAAAAAGATTGCACATCAAGTTTTACATTTATGGAATGATGTATAAAGATGCCAAACGAGATGCCTGATTTATTACATTTCACAGTAGCATTACATTAGGTTCAAAGTTCTGATATTTCACTGTAAAATGTATTCTTTTAATAACTTTTAGTAATAACACTTATGTTTATTGATATATACTTAACATGCGTGTAATATCTTACTGATATTTATTAATAAGGTATAATATATGCAGCTAATCTGTAAATCTTTATGAAATGTTTGTTAATGGCTTATTATTGAAGGTTTATGCCTTGAAAATGAAGCCAACTCTAAATGTGTTTTACTAATTGTTCTCTCGTGTGCTGAGTTTTTAGGGTGTTGATTCATAAGGGCGACATGAGTATGAGCTGCAGAAGAAAGCAACCTGAGCTCTTCAAATCTGAAAACACACGAAAGCCGCAGAAAGACAGCTTGCTTGCTCTTCGAGTCATCTTTCTGGATGATAGCGAGCATGCTTTTGAAATGGAGGTGAGATAATTCGGCTTTAATAAAAGTTTGCGCCACCACATCTGAGAATGATTTAAAGACAGCTTTAAAGTCGTTTTCTTCACATTTTCCAAAAGCATGCAGGATAACTCCATTATTGCTTCTTATTTTATGCCATATATGCTGAGGGGCATTTATTGCATCTTTTGAGTGGGACGTTGGACAATAAGTCATGCAAGTGTGTGTGTGTGTGTGTGTGTGTCTTTCTGGTGAGTGGTCTAGAATACCAGGACAGTTTGGCTTAAGGGTTTGCAAGAGAAAATGTATGTCAGCATCCCAATTTTTCTGTGCACGCTTGAGTTTCTGACCAAAAGACTTGGTTTTGATTTTTTTATAGCAAAGGGTGCTGGGAAAGGATTTCTTCAATGCAGTATGCAGACACCTAAAACTTGTGGAAAGTGAATACTTTGGGCTTGAGTTCCGACATCATTGTGGCAGTTATTTTTTTTAAATCAATATTATGAAATAAAGTAAAACATGTCACGATTATGAGTGTTACTGTGTAATAAATATGAGAAAGGGATTTGTCAGTTATGTTTATGGTTTGGGTCAGTGTTTTTTGTTGTTGTTTTTTTTTGTGTCATTGAGATACCATTATGGTTTTTATTTATATTTTGAATGTACAAAATATAGTTTGTATTTTTATAATTTCAGTTTTCAGTTTAATAAAATTTTTTTGGTATATAGACATTTCAGTGTTTTAGTAATTTTAGTACATAATTTTAGAACATTTTACACTAAATTAAAATGAGAAATGTCGCCTTGAAATAAAAAGTTTGATATCTTGGTTCTGAAAATATATATATTTTTTCTGTTAAAATGGACTATATTTTTAAATTAACTATTTTTATAGAAACAACATTTTAAGTTTATTTCTAAATATCCATATAAAAGGATTCTTCTGATGAATAGTTCAAAAGGACAGTTTTTAATCTTTCGTAATATTATAATTTTTTTACGGTCACTTTTGATCAGTTGAATGCAAATAAAAGCATTCGTTTCTGTGTGTTTTTTTTAAATCGTGCCCCAAACTTTTGAACGGTTTCTACAAAAATGTTGGTCACACTTTAGTTTGAGGTGCAATTCTCACGATTAACTAAGACTTTTGCTTCAATAAACTCCTAATTACTGCTTAATAATAATTAGTAATCTAGTTGTTAGTTTAGGTATAGTGTTGGATTAAGAGATCTAAAATATGCTCATGCAGAATAAGACATTAATATGTGCTTTATAAGTATCAATAAACAGCCAAAATGTTGGTAATATGCATGCTAATAAGCAACTGTTAACAGTGAGAATTGGTCACTAAACTAAAGTGTGACCAAAACATTAAGCAGCAAACACATGTCAACACTGACAATAAGATGAAATGTTTTTAATGATTTCTGAAGGATCATGGATCGTTTGTCACAGATGCAGACTTAAAAACAACACAAAGACTCAGTAAAACACCCCGGATGTGTTTTCTCTGTGCTGTAGAGGTCAATCCCCAGCCGAAGCGGACGGTCAGTTGCTTGAAGTGGCTCGTAAGCTGGACATGTACGGCATCCGGCCTCACGCCGCCAGCGATGGAGAAGACATGAGAATCAATTTAGCCGTCACTCACTCTGGAGTGCTGGTTTTTCAGGTAGGGACTGTGTCATTCATGATTAAGCCAGGTTAAGCATTAGCAGCTTTAACACTGCTATCTTTTGTCTTTTTATTTTAGGGAAATACTAAAATAAACACTTTCAGCTGGGCCAATATTCGCAAACTCAGCTTCAAGAGAAAACACTTTTTGATAAAACTTCATGCAACAATTGCGGTAATTATTTTTGCTCATCCTCCAAAGAATGGCATTTCGTACTGGAAAATATCATGGATAAATATCCATGGCCCTTGTTTATGTGGCATGAGGAACAAATCTGAAAAATGGTTTTGCGTCATTGTGTCTGTTCAGGAGTCTCGTAAGGACACCGTCGAGTTTGCCATGGCCAGTCGAGACGTCTGCAAGGCCTTCTGGAAGACGTGTGTGGAATACCATGCCTTCTTCCGTCTTTCTGAGGAACCGAAGGGCAAGCAAAAATCACTCCTCTACAGCAAGGGATCTTGCTTTAGATACAGGTAGACGGACACTGTCAAAAACAATACAGTACTACAGAATAACGCTATTTAATGTTGTTTTGGTGTGCTGCCCTGCAAAGGCAAAATTCAGTGAAAATTTATGTCAGAATTGGTGTAGAAGAGTACGCAACAATATTCATTGCTGCTATTCTGTATCTCTTTTGTGTTCCCAGTAAAGATCGTGATCTTTAAGTACTTTAGTATGTATGTAATATTTTGGCTGCACTGAAGCATAAAATACCGTCGTCTGCAGATATTTAGGAAACATGCTAACATTCTCTGAAAAACAATGCTACAGCCGTTTATTCTGCTTTGAAATGTGTGTTCCGTGTCGGAATGTTGGGTTTTGTTTTAGTCTGTGACTCCGCCCACTGCCAATTTAACCAATAGGATTTCGGCACCCCGGGTTGCCAGTTGGTGGAAAACTCCGCGTATTACAGCCATGGAAGCCAGGAAACAGCTATTATTAACATATTGGCTGTTTATTAGTACTTATAAAGTACATATTCTACATGACCATATTCTACATCCCTAATCCTACCCAATACCTAAACTTAACAACAACCTTACTAACTATTAATTTATTGAGGCAAAAGTCGTAATTAATGGTTTGTTAATAGTGAGAATTGGACCTTAAAATAAAGTGTGACCCATTTAGCAAATGATCTCCCTATCATGATTACACAAAGTTACTTTAAACCAAAAGGAACGACCCATAAATTACGTTACAACTATGACCAGTTCTTTTGATATTTACATTGAAATATCAGTGCTGCTGCTTGTCTGGTGTTTTTTACTTTTATCTATGGATCCCCGTCAGACTGATCAGTATATATATATATATATATATACCAACAGTGGAAGAACTCAAAAGCAGCTTTTGGACTTTGCGAAGAAATCTGAGAAGAACAACTTACCTTTTCAGAGGTGGGAAATGACTAGAAACGGTTCAAAATAGCTCATATTTCCGTGAAAGATATGTACCATATGTTAAAATACTGAGTTGTTCTGTTTCCTTCAGGAAGTACTGTAGAGACTACTATGATACACGACAATGCAGATCCTCGCCTGACTTACTGACTGATGTTTCCAAGCAGGTACAGCCAGTATATTTTTAGGATGGATAATCAAGTAAACTGAAGACGGAAAGACGTGTTCTGTGTGAACGGCCCCTTAGAAATCTGCACTTGTTTTAAGTCATCTTGGAATTGGATTTGAATCAATTGATTTCTAGTTAGTGCAGTAATATGTTGCAGTGTAATTATTTTTGTCAATGAGTCATTATTGTTATAGTTGACGGAACAGAGGTTGTTTGCGTTGACTGAACCGTGTGTGTGTGTTGCAGGCATACGAGCAGCAGTCGTGTGGTTTTCCTCACGCCGGAAGCGGCATGCGCAGTCAGTCGGCTGTGGAGGTTCTCGTCTCCTCTGAGCCGGAGGACTCTCAGGCGTCTTCCCTTCGGCCCTTCTGCTCTGAGGTGGACGCAGGGCCCAGTGCACAGCGGGAGCACAGGAACAACCGGAGAGCCTGGTGTAGATGCCGTTTGAACAGACGCCAGCTGGTGCTGCTTTACCCAAACCACCCTCACGCTTGCCTGCATCCGCTGGTGCCCGTGTGCCCGTCGTTCGCTCTGGATCACTCCTGCACTCCGGTCCTGCTGCCGTGTTGCAGCCACAGGGCTCATGAGATGTTGCCGGTGACGGCATGCTTCCTGGACGACGCCTTGCGCTCTGCGAGCTTCTCCGGATCCGCGTACGCCTCCCCGGTGCTTACACATTGGCAACGGTACGCCGGGATAGGATGGCCTCCGGTGCTCGGAGCAGCACCTGGGTTTTACGTAGCGGGAAGCTTTGGAGACAGAGATCAGGAAGAGTTAGGCCACTTCAGTGACGACTGCAGCTACCAAACGGGACTTCCTCGCCGGTCATACAGCCAGTCCGACATCAAGATGTTGTGTCAGCCGGCAGAGTTTCGCCCGCTGGGTCACTATCCTCACCTGTCTCGACGGGAAGGCCTCACGCGGCCGACATACCTGCCGCTGCATTCAGCACGACCGACAGACGGCAGCATGTCAGAACTGAGCCACAGCGACTCGGATCCAGACGTGATGTGTTCGTTCTACTGTCCTGGGATCAGCAGACTGGTGCGCTCCACGCCTCTGGCGCGCATGCGCATTTCCTCCGGAAGCTTACAGCTGGACGAAGAGGAGGAGCGTTCATTTAGTAATGAAGGCACATCTGCGACAGCTGTTAAAGCCAAACACAAGTCCTGAGAATAAAACTGTAAACTCATTCAGTAGCCAAAAGCATCATAACCGCATATGAAATGTCAGAAAAATCTAATTTTTTTGTTAGTGAAAATACTAATGGCCTAAGACTTTTGCACAGTAGTGAATATGACCAAAAGGTGATGAAATTCTGACATAAAATTATATAAATATCAGCTGTCACTCTATATCTCCAATAACAGGTCTTAGTAAGATGATATTTAATGGTTAGTTTGATGATCAAAACATATAATGCAATACAATCCAATGATGATTGAGAGATGAACAAAAAAATAAACGTTCCTCAAAAGCCTGATGATCATATTTGAGACTCACTGATTTCTCTAAAAAAAAAGATGTCTGGATAATCAAGTAAAGCAAAGCTGCTTCAGTCCAGTAAGTGTTCATCTTGAAATATTACTAACAATATCAAAGTTATTCTTATGTTTACTTTATAAAAATCAGTAAAGATATCACAGCAAAAAGACACATGAAGCACGAGCTGAAGATGGATATTTGTATAATTATACTAAAAGGTCTTTTATTTGCCAAGTCGTCTAAACTATCAATCAAATGACAGAAGGCAGGTAGAAGACTGTGAACAGCAGGATTATCAGCAAAGTTTTGATCATTGAGAGGCCTTAGAAATTTGCGTATCAAATGTGATACAGTAGTCTTTATAGGGTTAAGTCCACCATTGTGCTGATTTAATTATGAAAAATACACAAAATGTCAGTTCTTCGGAGATGTATGTCCTGTAGCGCAACTGTATGTTTGCTAGAAAGACCACAACCATGAACAGGGTATCTGCAGGATTTTTAAGCTCAAATTTAAGACTTCTTAAGACCTGCACAAATAAAATTGATACCATATGAGTGGGGGAGGGCAATGTCTGGTAACATATTAAACTGTAAAATGACTGATTTACAGTTCAGACACAAAAAAGTCTTATAAGATGATGATAAAAGTATCAATTATTATATTAATTTAAACAATTATCAAGAATTAAATTAAATATATTTTACTGTCTTAATGGTTTAGATCTTTATAATGCATTATCTTCTTGTCGATCCACCAGTTACAACTCTGCGTGTTTGCAGCATAAAAACATGGGTAGCCTATATTGAACATACTGTGTGATTTAATTGTTTTTTTTCATAATGTCAACAAGGGGCCGTTCACACAGAATGCGTTTTTTCCAATGCGCTACTTTTCCATTGTTTTTCTATGTAAGCATGCACTAGACCAGGGCTGTCAAACTCAATTCCTGGAGGGCCGGAGCCCTGCAGAGTTTAGCTTTAACCCTAATTAAACACACCTGATCCAGCTAATCAAGTCCTTCAGGCTTATATGAAAACTACATGGTATGCGTGTTGGAGCAGGGTTGGAACAAAACTCTGCAGAGCTCCGGTCCTCCAGGAATCGAGTTTGACACCCTTGCACTAGATGAACATGTATGACCGTTGCGCTCGTGTCTTTTTAAGTCGTGCGTTTTTAAGATGCCATGTCAAGTTTAAAGAATTTCAACTTTAATGCACTCAACTGTCGCAGCTTTAATCACATACACAACATGATTGAGTACATAGTGCATTAATAGTGTAGAAGTGCGTTATTGTTATTTTTGTTATTGCATCACGTCTCAAAAGTGTGTCGAGACCCTCGCGTTTTGTGCTGGCCTTTTCTTTAAAAAAAAAAAAAAAAAACACTCCCGAGTACTGCATCTCATGTTTTTAGATGCAAAGATGCGTTCTGAGTGAACGGCCTACTAAAACGTGCAATAAGTCTGGACCTTTATCAAGCGGTTTATCATCTTGAAATATTACTAACAATATCAAAGTTATTCTTATGTTTACTTTATAAAAATCAGTAAAGATATCACAGCAAAAAGACACATGAAGCACGAGCTGAAGATGGATATTTGTATAATTATACTAAAAGGTCTTTTATTTGCCAAGTCGTCTAAACTATCAATCAAATGACAGAAGGCAGGTAGAAGACTGTGAACAGCAGGATTATCAGCAAAGTTTTGATCATTGAGAGGCCTTAGAAATTTGCGTATCAAATGTGATACAGTAGTCTTTATAGGGTTAAGTCCACCATTGTGCTGATTTAATTATGAAAAATACACAAAATGTCAGTTCTTCGGAGATGTATGTCCTGTAGCGCAACTGTATGTTTGCTAGAAAGACCACAACCATGAACAGGGTATCTGCAGGATTTTTAAGCTCAAATTTAAGACTTCTTAAGACCTGCACAAATAAAATTGATACCATATGAGTGGGGGAGGGCAATGTCTGGTAACATATTAAACTGTAAAATGACTGATTTACAGTTCAGACACAAAAAAGTCTTATAAGATGATGATAAAAGTATCAATTATTATATTAATTTAAACAATTATCAAGAATTAAATTAAATATATTTTACTGTCTTAATGGTTTAGATCTTTATAATGCATTATCTTCTTGTCGATCCACCAGTTACAACTCTGCGTGTTTGCAGCATAAAAACATGGGTAGCCTATATTGAACATACTGTGTGATTTAATTGTTTTTTTTCATAATGTCAACAAGGGGCCGTTCACACAGAATGCGTTTTTTCCAATGCGCTACTTTTCCATTGTTTTTCTATGTAAGCATGCACTAGACCAGGGCTGTCAAACTCAATTCCTGGAGGGCCGGAGCCCTGCAGAGTTTAGCTTTAACCCTAATTAAACACACCTGATCCAGCTAATCAAGTCCTTCAGGCTTATATGAAAACTACATGGTATGCGTGTTGGAGCAGGGTTGGAACAAAACTCTGCAGAGCTCCGGTCCTCCAGGAATCGAGTTTGACACCCTTGCACTAGATGAACATGTATGACCGTTGCGCTCGTGTCTTTTTAAGTCGTGCGTTTTTAAGATGCCATGTCAAGTTTAAAGAATTTCAACTTTAATGCACTCAACTGTCGCAGCTTTAATCACATACACAACATGATTGAGTACATAGTGCATTAATAGTGTAGAAGTGCGTTATTGTTATTTTTGTTATTGCATCACGTCTCAAAAGTGTGTCGAGACCCTCGCGTTTTGTGCTGGCCTTTTCTTTAAAAAAAAAAAAAAAAAACACTCCCGAGTACTGCATCTCATGTTTTTAGATGCAAAGATGCGTTCTGAGTGAACGGCCTACTAAAACGTGCAATAAGTCTGGACCTTTATCAAGCGGTTTAAAAACAAAATAGTCACACTGAAATGACATAACTTAAATCTTTATTTGCCACACCAAACAAAAATGTATCTGTAACAGTTACAGTCCAAAAATGAAGAGAACAGCATCTATATGATACAACCTAGAAAGATTTCTGTCTGGCGTCTTAAATTTACAAAAGCTCTGGTGAAGAAATGTACAAAACCTAGCTTCTGCATCTACATTGCTATAAAGAAATATACAAATCCACTAAACACCTTTATTGCTCTAAAATCTTCCAGCAGTCTGGCAACATGTGTGAAACTTCGTTTTAAAGCGGTTTGAGAAGACAATAACATCATATACATTAAAAAGGTGAGCTTTAGGCACAATGGGATGCAACGTTGGCACAGTCTCTCCAAGCCAACTGGAGCAAATATGACATATGACCACCGCACCAGCAATGGCACCCTCTTGGCAAAAAAGAAAAGAAATCCCTCATCACAGGGAGTTTGCATTGAGCTTGAATTCTATACGGCTGCCTAGTATGGACTCGAATCACTTGCTGTCATTTCGGGTAGCTTAAATGCATCAGTTTGCGTGTAGAAATTCCCCCATTGGTTACAGAAGCAGGCTGCCTTGAGATCTACTCAAAGTGGAATGTCTTTGGAGCAAGAGAGCCCTGAAATTACAACACAAAACAGGCCCACCCCGTACAAAGTGTGCGCAAGTGCATATTTCCTTCAAAAATACAGTATAATTCTACTCTTGTATAAAAATATTAACTCAAAAACAAGACTGTAAAAAGAGGGCGTTGCTGAGAAATCAAGGGCAAACACAAAGGTCTAGAAATTTAATTACCGTGCCAATAAAAAAAAAATTTTAAAAAAAAAGAATAAAAATTAAATTTCCTATTGTAATGGGCCAGAAGTGGAGGTAGCTTTTGCACAGCAAAATTCCTCTCATTTTCCAAGCAGTTTAAATTTTATCGATCTTTATTAACCAGCTGTCTTTCTTTTTTTGATTGCTTAAATGAGGTATTTCTATTCATTTCGACTGATATGATATGCATGTAATCCCATACAGCAGTTCTGTAATGCTACAGTTAACAGTGTGTCGAGAGAAACAAAGAAATCCCAAACCAAGACGAACAAAAAGACACTGTTAATCTCACAAACGTATATATTATTGATCATAGTTTAAAATAAAGTAATGGATTGGGACATCAAATACATATAAATATACGTGAATCAAAAGATTTTCCTAATGCTCTCTAGAGCAGATGTACTTAACCGGTAAGGATATTTTGTGACTTTCAAAGTAAAATGTGGAATAAAATAACAGTAACACACATCCTTGGGCACCAGCAGAAGACTAATATAAAAGCATGTGGCAAAATTGTATAAATACAGTTGAACACACACTATATTTATATATATTTCCATTCTTTGGGACAAAAAAAAAAAAAGAATTCCTTTTGGTTATGATAAGATAGTATGTGCGCGCCCCCGCGTCCCTCCCGTCTCTGTACATGTGTGAGTGTGTTAAGGTGCAGTCATCAGGCCTGACAGCAGAAGGGTGGTGTGTTCCCAGCGACCCAATGTAGCACTAACTCATAGAGAACCTACAGAGGAAAGATGAGGAGAAAGATCTGATCATGAACGACACAGATACCTGATGCTGAAATCATCAGCATTGTTCATCAGTCAAGCAGGTGGCAGACAAAGCCGCATCTCACATACCGTGTGAGTACCAGACTGAGCTCTGAACTGGCGCCTTATTGGGCTTGAACGGTCTTATACACACACACACACTTATGTATCAAAATGCCCGTCTATAAACACAGTCGTTTGTGTCTCAATTGAACACAAACAGTTGCGAAAGAAAACACATGTGTATCAGTATATTAGATCTGTGCATTCGGTCTTAAAGTGACAGCAGCCTAATTAACCGGCTGCTTTCGGTGTCATTAATGTTAATCAAACAATAAAAGAGATAAAATCTTAAGTGAATCACTTTTGTAACTTCAATAGGAATAGGATTGCATCACTTGCTCAGCAAAGGATCCTCTGCAGTGAATGGGTGCCGTCAGAATGAGTGTCCAAAAAGCTGATAAAAAAAATAATCCAGTCCATCAGTTAACATCTTGTGCAGCCAAAAGCTACGTGTTTGTAAGAAACAAATTCATTAAGACATCTTCAAATTCAGACAGTTGCTTCTGGCCTAAATAATCCATAATGACTCTTCCTCCGGTGAAAAGGTCCATCCCCTGTTGTCTCTCACATCAAAATCCACTCATTTGTTTAGAAGTGTTAAACCGTGCTTGATCTGTGCAGATTTCTCTCCCGATTCAAATGACATGACCTTTTCCACTGGAGGAAGCATTGTTATGGATAGAGGACTCGTATTTTGGACAGAAACAACGGTAAAAAGTTCAGACTCGATGGATTAGTTTCTTACAAACACGCAGCTTTTGGCTCCTCGAGATGATAACTGATGGACTGGAGTGGTGTGGGTTACTTGTGGATTATTGTGATGTTTTTATCAGCTGTTTGGACTCTCATTCTGATGGCACCCATTCACTGCAGAGCATCCATTGCTGAGACAGCGATGCAATGCTACATTTCTCTAAATTTGATGAAGAAACTAAATTAAATTATAAATCTTAAATTAAAGCCTTTGCCTGTCATCAGAAACATGTATGTAGTGCGTCTGACCTCTGCACCCTCTCCAGGATATGAGTGATCATCCTGTCTGTGACCCCAGGACAGATGTCCTCAGCCACATGCAGGCTCTTCTCCAGCTGCTCGAGAACTCCTCTCGTCACGTCATCGTCTCTGTGCTGCGATTTCAGCTACAACAAAAAGCTCACGTTCTGATACACAGTCAATCCCACTTTTGTTTTTGCGGCTACATAACTAGACTGATTTCCGGTCAAATTCTGAATGGCATTTTAATTTCTGTTCAGCTCCCCAAACAGGAGCATATGAGAAGACTAGCTCCCCTACCTCTGAAAAAACAGGAGCCATGACGGTGGTTAAACTGCCTGACTTCTTCTGCAGTTCTTCATCCTGAAGGAAGGAGATCAGAAACACAAACTTGTTCTCAATAATCAGGTACAGAATTTCATCATTGAATATCCAAATCATCATTCAGAACTCACCATTCCATTGGGCTGCTTCTTTTCCGGCTTCTTCTTACGGACAGTGGTGAAGGACCACTCAGGAGACGACTCATTGTCCTTACTGCTGGACTCCCTGTTAGGCACACATGAAGAATCCACTGAGATTTTCAACTCGCTGTGTACGTGTAGTTTGATCAGTTTAAAATACATATCAGAAAGAAAGAGAAAGACTTTTAACCCTCTGGGCCTCTTCGGTCACTTTTCACCGAAAAATGTTTTACAATTTTTCCCTTCATTGAAAAATTGTGGACATGATTCGGATATGTTAAAGGGTCGAATAATAAAAAGTAACACTTGGTACCTTCGCGGTCAAAAATGACAGACATAGGAAATAAATGGGAAATATGAAAAAAATAGCTCATAAAAATTGTATACATATTGCATAGTATCACTAAATCCCCCCCAAAATTTATAAACAAAACAAAAAAAAAAATCTAAAAATATTATTTAATAAAAACCGTGAAGGTATCAAGTGTGAAAAAAACTGTCTAAAATGACTGGAATGATCCGGAGAACATATGCAGTTTAATTGAAAACAAAATAAATTTCTGTTAACAGCCAGATTTGTTCTCTGAAATAAACAACATAACATGGTGCTGTTTGGCTTGGATTTATTCATTGCGCCCTCTTGTGGACTGTTGTTTTAAAAAAAACTGGTGTTCAGTGATTTTTCCCCTAACTGAAATATTCTTCACTCTTCAGAATTCAAATACAAGTTGAATATTGGAAGAATTTAAGTGGGGGGGGGGGGAAGCTAATTTGTTTTCTGAAGTGTTAATTGCAGAGGGGAACATTTTCAGCCAAGAACAGACTTAAATTTCAGACTGTCATGTGGGCTGCACTGACTTGGAAACTTGACAGATCTTGGTCACTGTATGCTTTCACTGTATGATAACAGCTGCATTAAAGGGGTCCTATGATTACATAACATTATTTTGTGTATTTGATGTAATGCAATGTCTTTATGCGGTTCAGGTTAAAAAAAACACATTATTTTCCACATACTGTACATTATTGTTTCTCCTCTATGCTCTGCCTTTCTGAAACGCGTCGATTTTTACAAAGCTCCTCGTTCTGAAAAGCGAGGTGTGCTCTGATTGGCCAGCTATCCAGTGTGTTGTGATTGGCCGAATACCTCAAGCGTGTGACGGAAATGTTACGCCCCTCACCATAATGTGATGCTGTCCCAGAGCGACGAGACAAAAACAAAAAAAACCATTACAAACGAGGAACTTGTTGCATCCAGTGGGGACATAATTACGGATTATAATGACTTATACTGTCTTTTTACGCGTTGCATCGCGCTGCATAAACATAAAACCATGTCTGCATTTGTGATCGGAGAAATGACAAACAACAAGCGCTAATCTACACTGCTCAAACTCGTGTTTGAATCGTCAGTGGCAAATTCTTTAAATATAAAAACATACTTATAGGTTGTGAGTCAGAACAGCCGGCATTGTAGGCTCAGGAAACAGTCCTCCATAAAATGCATTGCACACACACGAATATTTGGGTTGAACTGTTCTGGAACAGTGCTGTAAATACAACTTAACAAATGATTTCTAGTCGTGTCCTCTTTTGGAAGACCAAACAAAGTAGTTTCGCTTTCACTACAGCGAGAATCAAAGTTACGGCTTCTTTCTTTGCGTGAACATTTGGGCGGCGTTATGCAAATCTTCCCACACAGTGACGTAGATATGTGGGGGCATGTTTAAATGAGGCGTTTTAAGAGGGCGTGGACGAGTCTTAACTTTTATAAAGAATATCTCTTTGGGTTTGAGACTTAAGTCTTTGCAACTTTAGGGATCTTATCTATTCACGAACAGCTTGTAACACTCCAAAGAGAAAGGAAAACTTCGCATCATATGACCCCTTTAACATTCTTCAACATCTACCTTTTGTATTCCACAGTAAAATTGATGTGAATTAGCCCTTTACATGTTAACTCAAGCTGGTTAGGGACAGAATTCCTGTTCAAACACTTTTTTAGAAAGCAGTATGTGTTTTGTTTCCAGAAAAGCAAACAGGTGCAATGGAAGGGTTTCTCCTGAAATGTATACTGATTTGTCAACTCAAGCCTCTGTTAATGATAATTTAGGGTAAATGCATTTGTGTTCGCCGCATGCTTACGAGTCAGAGTCAGAACTCGATTCTCCATCGCTGTGACCCTCGGCTTTCCAGCGCTTCAGTCGGTCAATGAGCTCGGCGAGGTAGGATGTCTTCTTGGCATATTTAACGATGAATTTGTGCTTCAGGAGTTCCTTTGCTGTTGGCCTCTGAGAAAATTAAATGGTGACACTTTATTACCTTTATCACTTTTCAAACACATCAGTACATGTTAGTGCTGCACAGTATAGCGGTGCACCAGTAGTATTGTGGTACCCACGCTTCAAAATACTTTTCAGAACGGCACAGTACTAAATACTCTTACATGTGAAAGTCACTTGTGGAACAACCAGAGCGGCTCAGATGTGGCACTCACTGGCAGTATTATACCAATCGAGCTCTGCAGGTGCCGTTCACACAGAGAATGCAAACTACACTTAATGCACATTATAATATACATTTTCCACCTTAAATTTATTTCCATGGGCATTTTACCTAAATAGAAGCATTCGGTCTTTCCCTATTCAAAGCATACATATTCTTACATTAAATCAAATTCAATCAGAATAATACACTATAGGCTGTTACCAATTGAATGAAATCAGTATCAACAAAATTGATTTAGATGTATATAGCAATTACAATTGTATAAATAATGCTTTTTTTTTTTAAATGCAATGATACACTCAGGAACGAAACAAGTGAATGTCTTAAAGAATGATTCACTGAATCGTTGATCCAACACTGCATGTTGATCAGAGATGCATAATGGTTCAGTTATGGCTTCGTTTAGAACCATTTTCAATGGCGACAGAGCAAAAATACACAATATTGACAATATTCTGGAAAAACAGTACACTTGCTTGTGTGATACTGCATAACTATATTAATAAGCTCAATACAGGGCCCTTTTTGTCCTCATATATCGAAGCTTTTGTGACAACTTCAGTATAAGTGTAACACACATATATGAGAAAGGAATGCTTGCAAACGGTGCTTACAAATACAGGGTCTTTGTTGAGACAGGAGTCCACAAACTCTCTGAAAGTCTTGGAGAAGTCTCCGTTGAGGGTGGGTGGTGTGTTCTTGGGGATGTGGAAGAGCACTCTCATGGGGTGCATGTCTGAGTTCGGGGGCTCGCCCTTGGCCAACTCAATGGCAGTGATCCCAAGAGACCAAATATCAGCCTGAGAGCAAAACAAAACTTCACAAAGCGGAACACATTTTGAGCTTGCCATGATACAATTATTTTGAGAATAAACCAAAAAGAGCAAGGCATTTGTTTAGTTTTGTGAAATTTCAGCAACCAAAATTTTCTGAAAAAACAGCAATTTTCAGTTTCAGCCAAAATAGTTTTGAAGGGCCGAAAACATTGACAGAAACAGCGACGTTTAAAGGGATAGTTCCCTCAAAAATTTAAATCCTGTTATCCACTGATCGATCAGCCTCTAATCTTTGTTGGCTGATGATCTTGTGATCGGTGATTGGCAGATTCGGTGTAAATTCAGGCTGATCTTTTAAATGCAACACACAAAATCACATGCTGTGCATCTGTACTCTACTAAACATTTGCTCATCCCACAAAGCACAATATCACACCACTCAAGGGTAAATTACTGGCAAATATAAGCATTCACAACTTCACAGATTTATGCAAAATTGTAATTCAGATGTGCAGGATTGTTTGTTTTTTAATTATAACAACAACTATATTTAATTTATACAATGGAGTACAGATGCACTGGTCAACTGGCCATTTGTTGTTTTATTTCAACCAAACTCTGTTCCGGGCTTGCACACAAACTGCACTGCAATTATTTTCCAAAATGTCATTTGTGAGAAAAACATTACGAAGTGTGTAAAAGGCTGTTAACAGAGGCCAGAGACGCTGAAGACGGACATAAAGAGGAAAAATACTGTAGCAGGCAGAGCAAACACACTGTTCACAACGTGCAAAATATTGTTAGAAAATCATAAAAATGCTGAATTGGGGGTTTATATGAATGTATCCATCTGAGAGATGGGTCTTTATGCGCATCAGCATGGTTTTGAACATCACATTTCACTGGTTCAGACTCTTGCCATTGAGAATTCTCTATGAATATTCACAAAGCTGGATGCTGCGTTTTACAACTATACCGAACTTGTGCTGAGGGGAAGCAGCAGACGTCAAAAAGCGAGAAGAAAAAAAAGGTACGCCTCTCAGAAAACATACAACTAAAAATCATTTTAGATGTTTAAAGGGGTCATGAACTGAGAAACCCAAAATGACCTTGTTATTTTGACATTGCAATTATTTTCCAAAATGTCATTTGTGAGAAAAACATTACGAAGTGTGTAAAAGGCTGTTAACAGAGGCCAGAGACGCTGAAGACGGACATAAAGAGGAAAAATACTGTAGCAGGCAGAGCAAACACACTGTTCACAACGTGCAAAATATTGTTAGAAAATCATAAAAATGCTGAATTGGGGGTTTATATGAATGTATCCATCTGAGAGATGGGTCTTTATGCGCATCAGCATGGTTTTGAACATCACATTTCACTGGTTCAGACTCTTGCCATTGAGAATTCTCTTTGAATATTCACAAAGCTGGATGCTGCGTTTTACAACTATACCGAACTTGTGCTGAGGGGAAGCAGCAGACGTCAAAAAGCGAGAAGAGAAAAAGGTACGCCTCTCAGAAAACATACAACTAAAAATCATTTTAGATGTTTAAAGGGGTCATGAACTGAGAAACCCAAAATGACCTTGTTATTTTGACATAAGAGGTCATTGTACTACAAAACATCCTGTAACTTTCTCGTTAATCTAAAAACAGCTTATATTGAAGCCAGTCTGCCAAAACGACAGGTTGTGGAATGTGTCACTTTATGATGTAATAGTGTGGCTAAACACCGCCTCCGCCGCAGATCAACGCTTGCATCTACACCGATTCTACATCACTGCCTGTTAAACCCCGCCCACCGATTCTACATCACTGTTAGCCAAACGTTAGCCAATTATAGCAGTGTGCGTTTACTTCAGAGTCTAAAATCCGTTCAAACAGATACGTTCAGAGCGTTCTGATGAGGGGGTCAAAACAGGACAGAAAAGAGTCTATTACTTCTAGATTATGATGTCTTTGATGTAAAAAATCTTGATAACATTATAAGTGGACCTCAGAGAACCGTACAAAATAATAAAAAAGGGCACTTCATGTCCCCTTTAAAGGCGAGAACACACTACACGACTGTCATGCCGATTATGAATGTAATTTGGTCTTGAGACGGATCATGCCCAGTCAGACCGGGTCTGTTCCAGTAGGGCTCAGTCGCTGTTTGCAGTCGGCAGAAAAATCGCATAGCATGTGGCGTCTAAAGATTATAATCTTAGAATTCAAAAACAGAATTTTAAAACAGGTTTAATATTTGCGACTGACGCCAGCGATTGTATATGCGCCTGTGCTGTTCACTGTAAAACGTTATTAAAGGTTCATTTTGTAATTTTGTCAAATATTTTTCTTGATTAGCTAGACATCTTGCTGTGATTTTTTTTCTTGTGTTTATTTTATTTAATAAGTTAACATTGCAAGTTAAATGGTTTTGGACTATTCGTTTTTTTCTGCAGTCAAATAGCTGAAGTAAAATAGCCTAAATTATTTCTCTCATTTTAAAGATATTATCAAGAATTATTTTTATTAAAATTTATTTTTTCTCAATTTTCTATAAAGAAATTTAAAATCAACTTTATAACAAAGCTATTCTTGATAACGACATTTTTTTCATAACAAATACACCAACATAACGAATAGCTTTTGTTCAAAACTAATTTTACATAAATTCATTAAAAAAAAAGCACAAATATGACACGAAATAAAATAATTTTATATACAATTTAATTATACATAGTAGTTTTGGGTCAAATGGATAAAGAAATTACAACTGGCAAACAGGTAAGCTGGAGTTCAGTGATCTCTAAGATATTCAGCTCAAATTAAAGTATAATACAGCCAGTCCGTTTACTTTCACATGGCCATTTGCGCTGTTTGCTGCAAATAAATCTGCAAGTCACGCAAACCATGAAATGACGTTCTCTTGATTTGTTTATGTGAAAGTGCAATAATTCTGATGAAATGTAAAAAGTAAATAAATAAATACATAAATCTAAAATAGACAATTGTGTTTAATCATCATGAATATATGTGAGCAAAATAATCGTGATTGGTCAATTTATCATGATCTTGCAGCCCTACTTTTAAGGGTGTTTACACTCTTTAAGAACCTACTAACACTATAAGTTACAATAAAATATACACTGCCATTCAAAAGTTGAAGATCAGTAAGATATATTATATATATATACTTTTAAAGAAGATTCGTATGCTCATCAAGGCTACATTTATTTGATCAAAAATACTGAAAAACAGTAATATTGTGAAGTTATTATAAATGGGTTTATTTTAATATACTTTAAAAATGTAATTTATTCCTGGGATGCAAATCAGGACTCCAGTCCACAGCGTCATATGATCTTCAGAAATCATTCTATGCTGATTAGTGGTCGACCGATATTGGTTTTTTGACAGCCGATGCCGATATCTTGGAATAAACATACTTATACTTCAGATGACAAAGTATTTTTCATAAATAAATATTTAATAAAAATATAATTAAAAAGGAAGTAAACACTAACTAACAGGGCACTCAGTATTCTGGGAAGTTTGTGTGCATTAAACATTTTTCAAATAAAGTCAAGGCAACACTCATTTTACATACAGCACACAGTGAAAATGATGTGAATATGGCAGTGGGCAAATGCATAAAGTGCAGCATAATTTAAAATCACGAGTTTAAATCACTCTCCTCCCATCCACATTCAATATGCACGGATTGACTGTCACGCAGAGAACATGCGATCATGCAGGATACAAATGCACACTTCACAAGATCTCATAACTGGATCTTTGCAAGGTTTTTGAAATTAGATGTTTATTAGACATTCAAAGATTTGTTTAAATGATGTAAATGCGTATTTGCTGAATGCTGACGGCAAACAAGAAAGTATTATCATGTTTGCCTTTCTATTACTAATAATATAAAAGCAATCGTTATAATACTTTTTGTATACATTTTAATTCCTTTGTTTAACAGTTCTATCTGATTATTAGACAGACTTATATTTGTTTTTAGACAGAACTGTTAACGATGACAGCGAACGAGAGGGAGAATGCGCTGCCGCTATCAGCGCCGTCAAAATAAAATGAATGCATCGGCCAAACAGGAAAACTTATCGGCCGATGCCGATATTTAAAAAAATGCCAAATATCAGCCGATATATCGGTCGACCACTAATGCTGATTTATTATCAATGTTGGAAACAGTTGTGCTGCTTAACATTTTTTTTGGAACCTGTGACACTTTTTTCAGGGTTTTTCCAAGTAGATATCTTTTGTAACAATATACACTACTGTTCAAAACATTAAAAATGACAAGTTTAAGGTTGAGCCCTACTCCTTTCCAAAAAATTAAAAAAATTAAAATTAAAAAAAAATTATAATATTAAGAATACAAAACTATTGAAGACAGCACCAATCAGTGCAGCTATTTGCAGACCAACCAGCAGGAATCTACCTCACCCTGCATATAGTTCACACAAGTGGAAAAACAAACGGCAGTGGAAAAACAAAGTCGTCACACCCACTCAACCAAGCAGACACAAATATTCCTCACATGGAGACAAATGCTCTGCGTACACACCTTTTATGTCCCTGTGGATTTTCTTCTCAGAGTGCAGGTAGTCCAAACCTTTCAAAATCTCCTTCAGCATGGTGGCTATCTGGTATTCGTCAAAGGGTCCGGCTCTCAGCTGCACACACACATAAACACAAAACAGGTTGAGGGTGTAGGGCACACGATCAGCCGCATTCTGTAGCTGTGGAGGCTCACAGATAAAGTCAAAGGACTTACCAGGTCCAGAGCTGAACCTCCGCCCAGATATTCCATTATGATCCATAGTTTACTACCCTGAAGGAAAAAACAAGACATTTAGATATGAACTCAGAGGTAGGAGAGCACTGAAAAATATCAATTGTGTAATAGCTCTGATACGCCGAGTGAGTCAGATTCAAAAGTGAGCTTGAGTTTCATAAATCTTTTTGTCAGACTTGTTTGTTGTTGAAACAGGAAACACTGGCTAGCATGATACTTGATGAATAATCACATTTTTATGAGATAAGTAACTATAATGGGATTATGACATATGTCAGAGGAGTGAATGAGAGTGCAACAGCAGAACAATGAACCTCTTAGCAGTTTCTGCTTTTAAACTTTTTTTTTTATTATAATGTATGTTTACTTGAAAGCTTTCTCACGCACAATGTATAGCATAGCCTATATTTATGCTGCCTTTAGTTTTTCTTTTTTCTTGTATACAGCCTTCAATTTGGATGAGACCACTGGCCAAGATATGTTTTCCCCCCCCAATACATACATAAGAAAACATTTATTTATTCATTTAATTAAACTAAGAAATAATTAACCTATCAAAATTATTAGTAGCAGGCCTACTTAAATTATATAAATAGAAATATTTGATGAACAAAGTTTAAGTTCACCCCTCCCAAAAATGAAAATTCTTTCACCCTCAAATAATTCTAAACTTGTATGGCTTTCTTTCTTCTGTGAAAGACAAAAGAAAATATTTGAATAATCTATCCGTTGTTTCTGTCCATATTATATGAAAGTCAATTGTGACCCAAATAAGACTATATCAGCAAAGCCTGAAACATTGGCTAACCTCTAACCTCAGTGGCTCTCGCATGTCACAAGACATTTGACAAAGTATCTGTATGTATATTGTTGATAAATGATAATATTTGATTTGAGAGTGAATTCAGAAGACTTAAAATACACCAGTTTAGAGGATTTTCACTCAACCTTTATGTACCTTTTAGGGCATTAATGTACTGGGTCGAAATGACTTTCATAATTATGTACAAAACTTCTGTTGTAACATCCTTCAGATATCTTTTGTATTTTGTACAAGTTTTTGTCAGGCGAGTAAATGATGAAAAATTCCAAAGTAAAAAAAAGTTCCACAGTAAAATTCCAGATGGTTAGTATTATTGTTTCATGTTTTAATTACCATTTAAATCTGTATTTACATGGTGCAATCTTTAATGTTACCAGTGAATTTTTAACAGTACTACCAGTATTCAATAATAGTATAACCATGGGCGACATTGGAGGAGGGTTTGGTTAATGGCCAATCAGAAATGTTTTAGAATTCACTCACCGCTGAAAGTGCCGGAGTTTTTATTAAGTGCAGTTTTGCATGCTCGTGAATCATCTCATAACTTTTGTTTTTCAAACATACATGCTGCAAAGTTTCGGAAAGAGAGCTGCATGTTCATGCTGGATTCACTCTCAAAATAGCAGTGATCGACACAAAAAATATATGTACCAGACATTGCATTTCCAGTAACGGATGATAGAAAGTTCAGGAATGAATGGTATTCGATTTATGACAGAATATAGTCCTACGACTGACTGTTTTTTTTACGTGCCTTTGTTAACAACAATTCAAAACAGCCACATTTCAAGTGACGTGGGAAAAAGACGCGGAAAACCTCAATGAACATCAGAAAAGCAGCGTGCACATTTCTGGTTAAAAATGAAAGGCCATCAACGGACACTTAAAACGGGATGCATCGCCATTCAAATCAGCAGCAAGAGTCAAAGCCAGTCCCCAGTTTAGTAAATGTTGGCATCCTCTTAACTGTGCTGTATTGACTACTTTAATGCGTTGCAATATGATAGGCTATTGTTTTGATGCTTACAGTCGAAAATTGTTTTTTTTCTGGCTTAACAACAGACAGTATAATAACACACACTGAGGGGCTTGTTAACTCGTATTTTCCAAGTGTCTTGTTCTGTTTAAGTGGTAGTATCACATGGATGGGACTACGGATATGGAAATCATATGCATATTTATAAAGGGATTTATAAAGGGAATTCCGCACAGGTTCCAACACACAATATAAATCTGAAAACGGTGTATGCAAAATCTAAATCTACTTCATGTCCATATGCACACCTTTAGTATAAAATCTGCACATTTTATACACAAGGCCCCTGTTCTTTTTTTAACCTTATAATTAATGATGCAGCCTTTTCATCATTTGTTGGAACAAACACTGACCATCGATGCACACAGACACACAAAGTGGCCAGACAAAATCTATGAGAGTATGTTCTGTCTGGCAGCCTTCCAGAAATACAGGTATTGTGACATAGCACAAAGGGTTTGGCCATGAGTCACCAATGGCATTAAATCAAATTACAAACCGCTTCAGAACTCCCCATTAAAACATGTCCTCAGCCATCTTTTGTATTAATTTTCATCCAAAGGCAACTATGTGTACGGCACATGTGCTGGTGTTACACACAATGCACAGCATTAAGGTGATATGATAATATTAGGCTACTCATGCCTCAAAAAACCTGGGGCTGGGAACAGAGAACCGGTGCTTATCTAGAACAATACCAATATGTGTGAAATTCTTACATTTTGGTTCTGGTGTGACATCTGGGCAAAGCACAGAGCTTATCCTTCAACGGTGATATGGACTAGTGTCTGTGAATATTAAGGCGCAAAAACACTGCTATTTGAATGAAGTCCACATGTTCTGCATGTCTCTGTGAATATTTGGTGTACTACACATACTGAAGATTTCATTCACTTTTTTAATTAAAAATATGAAGTGAAGATTATACACAATACTTAAACAATGCTTTTTGGTTATGGTCCTACCTGTCAAGTGATTTTAATAGAACGGTAATATTAACAAATTCAATATCGTATTTTACAATTTTTGTGAAACTAAAGAATTTTTCTGAAGGAAAATTCAATTCTTCTGGATGTGGATTTTTTTTCTGGATTAATGATTTCATACAATACAAATCTAAAATAAAAACTAGTGGTAATCGAATTAATTCATAAAACTTTAACCATTTGATAAATCTTTTAAAGTGTATGAAAATATTTTAATTTATATTTACAATAATTAATTCACAACAAAACATTGCATTTATATTATTTATCAACTTGCTATAACAGAGGTTTACTATATACTTGAATGAAAAATTGTGTGATATTTCTTAAATAATGTTTTTTAAATAGCATTATCATCATTACATTATATTTGTCAAGTTAAACTGAACTAATTTCGGCAGGCTGTCGTGATATAATATAAGACTGTATCTATATATGGCTTTTGCAATAGTGTAGAACTCTGTAAGCTTGCACTGAATTGAACTGATTATGAAACAAGCTGTATACGACCCATTCACAATTTGAATAAAAGGTTTTTTTTAATGCTGCACACTTCGTAGTTTAGGAGTAGCATCCGTATTTAAATGTTGAACTGAATCAAAAACGGCAATGACTGAAATAGTGATCATCAAATCAACGGACGAGAAAAATTTTTTTTACAGCAATGTTTACTTTTAAAAAAAACTATTTGAAGGCTACATGCTGTTGTAATGTAGTATTTACTTGTAATTATTATCATCATTAATAATTAACACTTAATTCTTTAAAAAAATTTTTTTTAAAATAGTCTCAGATAAGAGTTCCAATAGTTTTTGCACTACCGAGAACCGAATTTTACTGGTATTGGCATCCACTACTGAAATTTTGCTACTGTGACAACACTACTAGCATGTGCTACAGCTAATGTGTGAAACAGCCAATGTCAATACATACCTTTAGGTAAGAGCCATAGTATTTGGTGACATGAGGACTATCGCACTGGCTGAGTACGGTGATCTCCTGTTGGATGTCTTCGATTTCATCTTCTGCTTCCTCAAGATCGATGGTCTTGATGGCCACTACGTTCTGAGTGCGGCGGTCGATTCCTTTGAACACCTCACCGAACGAGCCCTTCCCGATCCGTTCTAGTTTAGTGAACAACTCTTCAGGGTCTGTTCGGCTGTTCTGGAATACAAAAGTTACACAGAGTCAGAGTTGACTAGATTGGATAGTAGGGATGTAATGATTAAAGCCGGTTGAAAATCGATTCAAATGTGTGACGATTCAAATCGGTTGAGATGCAAAACAAATCGTGATTCATTTAGGGGTAGGAGTTTATATGAATGTATGTCTGAGGGGAACTTACTGTCTTTAGAAAAGTTTAGATGGTATTTTTTTTTCATCATGCTTCTGTATAATGCATATTGAAGTTCATAAGCACAGCGCTGCTTTGTTTACAGCGGAAACCAAGGAAATGCTTTAAGCGCCACCTGCTGGCAGAGAGTGAACCTGCGTCTCGTTCAGCTCGTCTGCTGTTTCGGTTTCATGCAGATATTTTTTTTTTTATATTTTCATAAAACTGAAGTCAAACCATTCTGTTTTTGTTTCAAATTTCGAAATTATACAATTAATTTAGATTAAAACCTGCTCGTGTTGCATGTATGCAGCATCTTTGCTTGGATCATGATTAAAATGCATTGGTTGCCTTTAATTTTAAATGGAAAGAGCACAGACAATGCCTTAGTTTGTTTATATGAAGAGATGTATTTTATTTGCGTTATTTATTTGATTTGGGGCTTGTTTTAAAATTTCAATTTAGTTTTGTAATTTACATTTACATTATATTTACATTTTATTTAGCAAATGCTTTTATCCAAAGCAACTTACAAATGAGGACAATAGAAGCAATCAAAAACAGCAAAATACTATTAGTATATTATTATAGTGTTATATTTCAATTTCACAAAGAAACATGCAGCATTTTGTCCAAGCAATAATAAAAGGACACATTTATAATTTGTCTTAAATCTCATTTTGTAAAAATAAAAATCGTGAATCGAATCGTGAGTTGAGTGAATTGTTACATCCCTATTGGATAGTAGTTAACAATATATCTCAGGTAAATTTGCTGTAATGACATATTTGGAATGCAACTTTATAGAATAAAAATAGACAAATCTCTCATATTCAACACTCTGAAGTTAGAAACAGACTTCATAAAAGATCTCTCACTTTCCTTCAATAAACAATGTGTTTCAGTGCTCCAAAAACACACGGAGTTGCTTGATTATATTCCTCCAGTTGTATAAAAGGTTCAATGGAACAATGAAGATCGAAGACAAGCAGTTCATAAGCGTTTATAACCGAGAGAATACCAATGCCACATCAGGTTAATCAATAATATTCCAAGAAACCTTTGGGAGGGGAGCTCTACGAATCAATATATGCAGCTGTTTAACTGGTATCAGTTACCTATTGCATATACAGTCATTTCATTGTGTGCAATACTGATTAAAATATAAGAGGCACAAAAGCTATTTTACAGTTAGTCTTTTAAAACATTTAAAGTTTTGTTGTTGAGTTTAGTCTGTTTATTAGCTTTAAAGTCCACATGAAAAGTCTGCATGAAATCAAAATACGGTTATTTACAGGAGTTGGGGAGGGATCGATTCTCCAATGCATCACGATTCTCTCTTCAACGATTCTGAGCTGTTTTTCTGCATATGTGCAAGGGCACTTATGCACTAGAGAGCCATATTCTGCATGCTGCCAGTTACACACATAACGTCGAATATGTATATAAACTTGCAGAATGTTTCATGGTTGAAGCAAAACGCAATGGCAACAACGGTCTTCACTGCACAGGATTTGCGCTGTGAGAAACGTGCACTTTGCTTGACAGTGTGAGGTTTCACTCACTGGTATTTCTGTTTTTCTCTTTCGAATGCTCTACGAAAGCATCATTTTTGCCATTTGGAATGTAATATACATTTGATACATGAAACTATCGACAGACGGCTGTTTTCAAACACTTCCCTTCCTACCCCCCAAATGATAAATCCCACCATCAAACTGTCTGAAGTTGGTGACTTGTATACTTATATATGGAATCTGGAACACATCATACGGAATAGGGAGCAAATTTCAGGCAGTGAAAATATGCTTGCCATTGGAGCATTGGGAAAAACTATCCAAAACAAGAAACAGTGTTTGAAATGTCAAACTTGTGATGGAACTTGTGATGAAAAAGCTTATCAAACTCATCTAAAAAACAATGTAATTTTTTGTACAGAAATAACAATGGCAAACATATAGATTAAATAGACAAAACAGTACATTTAAAGATGCATTCAGTTGTTTAGTGTTAACTTAAGATTTTGCATATTAAAATAAATAAATGGTGTGTTGTGAAGAGTCATCTGAATGGTGTGCACTTACATAAGATGGAAACCTTTCTCTTAACAGTTTCTATAAAAATTGTTTTAACCGTTGTGCATACTTAGGGAAATCTTTGTGTGTGTGTGTCTCATTTCGGCTGTGTTAATTCAAACAGCATAAATGTCAAAAAAGTGTTGTTGTTTTTTTATTTAAATATTTTACTTTCATAAATCTTAAAAAAAAAAATTTGCACTCGGGACCTTAAGGATAAAATTGTCCACACAGACACCCCTTAAAATATTTTTCAGTGCCATTTAGGAATACAATAATGCATTATTATTTAATAGGCTTTCATTCTGTTGGTGAGCCTTCAAATTTGTACAGTTTTTACATTTTTACTATTTAGCACCCAAGGAGCAAATACTCACTTTTCAAAAGGCAAACTGAATTGAAATGATGTAATTATAATAGTGTAGTTGTACTGGTATGAATATCAAAGTGTGTTCTGTACATATGTGCTGAGAAATTTGTATGTGTGAATGATAGGTAAAAAAAATCTGACACTGCACAAAAATAATAATGCATCAGAATTAATGTTGTTAAATCAGTTATTGGATACACTTACTACCATGTTTTACCAGCGGAGACAAGAAGAAACACCTGTAGCCTTAAGACAGAAAGAAAAAAAACAAGCACCAACATTTGTGTGGCCAACGCAAGGTGGACAGATCTTAATGCAACCTTTTTAATATTTACTTTATAAAGTGGATTTCTTTGCAATTTGGGTTTAAAAGACCTTTAATATCCAGTAATATTATCGATTCAACTGCACTGATGATATCAGATGAGAACAACTTGAGCTGAATAATGACTAACTCTGCAACATTGACAGTCATCCTTGAACTGAATCAATACTGAATGAACTTGAGCTAAATAATGGCACAATTGTCTTCTGTAGAGCGGCTTTACAGCTAAAATTGAAGTTGTTTCATAATTAATGTGGTTTACGTTATTATTTATCTGTTTACTGATGTGAAGTTGCTTTGAAACAATCTGTATTGTATAAAGCACAATATAAATAAATGTGACTTGACTTTTAATGATCAAGACCACTTAGAAATAATCAAATTTGTGATATAGTAGGTCTGTAAATACTTTTTATAGTTTTTACAAAAACGTGCATATTGTGATATTGTTTTCAACCAAATATTGAAGAATATGAAAACACGGCTTTTGCTTATACAGTGGGGCAAAAAAGTATTTAGTCAGCCACCAATTGTGCAAGTTCTCCCACTTAAAAAGATGAGAGAGGCCTGTAATTTTCATCATAGGTGTACCTCAACTATGAGAGACAAAATGAGAAAAAAAAATCCAGAAAAACCCCTTAAAATATTTTTCAGTGCCATTTAGGAATACAATAATGCATTATTATTTAATAGGCTTTCATTCTGTTGGTGAGCCTTCAAATTTGTACAGTTTTTACATTTTTACTATTTAGCACCCAAGGAGCAAATACTCACTTTTCAAAAGGCAAACTGAATTGAAATGATGTAATTATAATAGTGTAGTTGTACTGGTATGAATATCAAAGTGTGTTCTGTACATATGTGCTGAGAAATTTGTATGTGTGAATGATAGGTAAAAAAAATCTGACACTGCACAAAAATAATAATGCATCAGAATTAATGTTGTTAAATCAGTTATTGGATACACTTACTACCATGTTTTACCAGCGGAGACAAGAAGAAACACCTGTAGCCTTAAGACAGAAAGAAAAAAAACAAGCACCAACATTTGTGTGGCCAACGCAAGGTGGACAGATCTTAATGCAACCTTTTTAATATTTACTTTATAAAGTGGATTTCTTTGCAATTTGGGTTTAAAAGACCTTTAATATCCAGTAATATTATCGATTCAACTGCACTGATGATATCAGATGAGAACAACTTGAGCTGAATAATGACTAACTTTACAGTAACTTAACATTGACAGTCATCCTTGAACTGAATCAATACTGAATGAACTTGAGCTAAATAATGGCACAATTGTCTTCTGTAGAACGGCTTTACAGCTAAAATTGAAGTTGTTTCATAATTAATGTGGTTTACGTTATTATTTATCTGTTTACTGATGTGAAGTTGCTTTGAAACAATCTGTATTGTATAAAGCACAATATAAATAAATGTGACTTGACTTTTAATGATCAAGACCACTTAGAAATAATCAAATTTGTGATATAGTAGGTCTGTAAATACTTTTTATAGTTTTTACAAAAACGTGCATATTGTGATATTGTTTTCAACCAAATATTGAAGAATATGAAAACACGGCTTTTGCTTATACAGTGGGGCAAAAAAGTATTTAGTCAGCCACCAATTGTGCAAGTTCTCCCACTTAAAAAGATGAGAGAGGCCTGTAATTTTCATCATAGGTGTACCTCAACTATGAGAGACAAAATGAGAAAAAAAAATCCAGAAAATCACATTGTAGGATTTTTAAAGAATTTATTTGCAAATTATGGTGGAAAATAAGTATTTGGTCAATAACAAAATTTCATCTCAATACTTTGTTATATACCCTTTGTTGGCAATGACAGAGGTCAAACGTTTTCTGTAAGAGGTCTTTTTTTCTCATTTTGTTTCTCATAGTTGAGGTATACCTATGATGAAAATTACAGGCCTCTCTCATCTTTTTAAGTGGGAGAACTTGCACAATTGGCTGACTAAATACTTTTTTGCCCCACTGTATCTCCCACCCCAAATACTGCATTTACCTCATGTTTGATCATTGTCGGTTAACCTTTTTAACTGGTTAATCGGTTAAAAGAATGCCAAAATTTGCATCCCTAATTGCGCCCTACCAAAATTCTAATACCATGATACATTTTTGCTTGTTTGCAAATTCAGATAATGGGCAGTGACAGGTTTTGTGGTAAAATATTTCACTTAGACATTGAACTTGGCTCGTATTGTTAAATTTCCCTTCCAATTGGACTGGGGGAAAAAAGTAGTATTGTATCTGGTCTTTGGGCATCTCTGAAGTGCTTTAGATCCAGTGGAGCAGAAGTGATGAGCTATATCCTGCTCCACCGTCTGCGTCCTTCTGATAAACCGCTGTGCACAGACTGGTACGTTAATGACTAATTAGCCGATATTATCGGCCGATATGAGCCTGTCGCCGATACGGTATTGGTGAATATGCCGCCGATATGCATTTACAGAACATATAACAAATGCTTGAAATGGTGTAATTACTTAGTTTGTCCATTGTTTGCTACTGGCGACCTGGATGAAACACTTTAAAGCTTAAGTCTATGGAAAACCATTGAAACTTTGAACGGCCAAATCTCCGTAAAGGCGTGGCAAATCCGCACCAAATTCGGGGCATCCATTCAGCTCGAGGAGCCCTCTCGAAGGCGAATCGAGTATACGTCTCGAGGCCCTCTTTCGAATGAGACCACCCCCACGTCGATAGCCCCTGGGGTTCGGGAGTTACGGGTGGTTAAATTCGCGGTCCGGCGCCGACCGATCTGGCGATCCCGGGGGGGCTACCGATCCGCGGAGGGTGGTGTTCGAGAGGGCTCCTCGAGCTGAAGGGATCCC